TCGCGTTGAACCGAGAATGTTAAAAAATATTTGTTTCAGTGAAGAATGGACTTTTATGCTGAATGGTAATGTAAATAAATGAAACTGTCAGTACTGGAGTGATTCAGAGAAGGTCACACTCAATATCCTGAAAAACTGAATGTTTGGGCGGGAATATTAGGCGATGCTATAATTGGTCCCTTGTTCATACCAGGCAATTTAAGTGGCGACATTTATCTCGATATGCTGGAAAACACCATCGTGCATGCATTAGAGAAACAAAGGGACGACCAAGGCAACCTAGCTGTAGACGAAAATTTGCTGCAATTTGTTGGAGCACATCCTCACTATGCAGCTCCAGTTAGGCACTCGTTGAATACTAATTATCTGAACAAATGGATTGGAAGGAGAGGTCCCATTGAGTGGCCACCGAGGTCACCAGACTTGATGCTACCTGACTTTTTTCTGTGGGGTCACTTCAAGTCAGTTGTTTATAAAACCCAACCTGCATCACTTGGGGATTTGCGAGAAAGAATTACGCAAGCATGTCGCGCCATTACTAGACCAACATTTGCCAAAGTTCGTGCATTGAACATTTACTTAATTGACATTTTTAATAAATTTGTAGTTCAACAAAAACCTCATTAAATATTCCATTTGAGCCAAAGTTTCGCAATTATTGCCCAACCCTGTGCAATTATTATTTATACATTGGATAGCATTTTTATTGTCTTTTCAATGATGTATCACAAGTAGGGGTTTGTCATTTGAATTTTTTGTGTTTTGGTGGGTGGGGCCTAGGGAATTGATGGGGGTGAGTTCTCTTTCATGTCACTTTAGTTCCCTCTTACTATCCTAGGTTAATACCTATCAGGTTAATATTTGGTATCAGAAGAAGGTCCAGAATTTCACACAAACTAGCAGATTTGAAGGTGTTGAAAATGTTTAATCGTAGACGTCTCCATGCAATATGCATATTTTTTAAAATGTTCAAATATAGCAATCATCCCTACTTGTATGAACATTTGTCTTATAGAACAGATATCCATAACCTGAATTTGCATAAAAAGACACTGCTAAACATTCCTGTACATAAAAAGGAAATATTCAAACGATCTTTTTCCTATAATATATCCTCTAGAATAAATTATCTCCATAAATGCCAAGACAATTGTTTTAACATGTCAGAAACTGTTTTTAAAAGAAGGTTTAAACAGCAAATGTTCAGCATTCAGAATAACTAGGTCCGCGGCGAGAATCCTGAAAAATGTTTTAGCTATTCATATATCTATATCTTTATATTACCTTCTATTTTCTTTCCTTTTTTCCTTTTCTTTCTTCTTTTCTTCTCTTCAAGCCCTCATTTATTTACTTTTATACATTTTCGGCGTTGGTGGAAGAGCAGACGTGAATGCAAATTCGCGGTCTGAACCAAAAGCCATTTTTCTCTCTCTTGTTTTTTTTTGTTATTATCTTGTATTTTGATGGGCAATAAATTTATTATTACTATTATTATTATTATCATTATTTCAGTCAAAAATTTCTACAAACGATTCATCTGACGTTATTAGTCGATTAGTATATTACAAAAAGTTGAAATACCTACGTTGAAAATAGTTCCAAAAGACTATAAAAAATATCGGTAATTCATTAATCAATATGCACGATTCCGTACGATTGCAAAATACAATAAAAAATTACGATATTTAGGTTTCAATGAATTCTTGTTTATTCATTCAATGGCATTCCTAGTATTACGTATGTTTGTTTGGTGCAGGTCAAGGTCAATGCTTAGTTGATGTCATGTTGAATGTAAACAAAAATTTCTTCAGAACATTTACCTCAATTGATATCGAAACAAAATTGGGATTTTCAAGTACGTCTTTGGTATTATTAATATGCATGACACGATTTCATAGCTCATTCGACTTCCAGGATATCACAATTAAAACAAATCATATGTGAATTACGTTTGAATTGAAATCAATAAAATTTGAGAAGTAGAATTTAGGAATTTGACATTGAAGACACTTTTTTTACACAAAAACAAAAAATGTCTTGAGATACTATTCTGGTATGGAAAAAGTGAATTCAATCAATAATTGATTGAGCCGACACGAAAAAACTAAAGAACAAATACCTACCTACCTACCTTCATAAGAAGGTATGGGTTTAACACAAATCACAATCTAAAATATTTATTTTCATAAAGTAAGTGGAGAACTGATAGTAATAAATACTTTGAATTTGAGCCACTGAAGTGAAAAGAATCTAATCAAACCACTTTTCCACGCCACTACTAGAACACTGTTTTTCGACGTTCATTTCAATAAGTAAGTACCTAAGTGATATAACGAGATGACTCTTCCAAGGAAAAAGTACTTGCCATTATTATAAGACACTGCCACTTCCACTGCCACTTCTTACTATGCATTTTACATTCAATAGTAGATGAATTGGTCAAAAAGTAATGTAATGGCCCTCAAGGTCTTCCGATTTAAGTACATTATATTTTTGTTACAGGTTTTCTCAAAGAATTTGGTTTATAAAACCCAATCAGCACCTGTAGATGATTTTATTTATTGATTTCATGATATCATCTTAGGTCCACAGGGTAAAAAAATGATATCATTTGGAACACTTGTCAAAGTAAAGAGTCAAATAAGATTTCAGAGTGAATTACGAATAATAATTTTTTCATTGCTCCCTTCTGTAAGGTAAAATTTCAGTTAATAGTTATTATTCAAGGAAATTAAAAATTCTCCATGAAAACTGAGATGAATACGTAATTGAATATGTAAATTTCGTCTGGTCAACTTTCACGTTTTAATTCTAACAGACTTTTGTCGCATTTCTAACGACAATACTTGCACAAACATAATATAATTCTTTTTGAATATTGAAAACTATATTTCCATATATGTTCACTGCAATCATCCATTCTCTATATTTGCATATTTTGTTCACCGCCAGCACCCATTCATCGTAAATTTTCCATTTGATTCAGCATCTGTATCTGTAGAGTAAGGAGGGTGAGTGTAAGCCTACAACACTTAGGCCACATGTGACCCATTGTACATCCTCTCGAGAAGTTGTCCTCCTAGGTCATCGTCCATCCTGTCCTTTCCAGGAAGGTGGACAGGTCGCTGGGAGACATCTCCTTTATATCAGCAGGTGTAGGCCAAGACTCGCCGAACACACACTCTCTTATTGACGATAACCCCGGGCACTCGCACAGGACATGCCTGACAGTTTCATCTTATTGTTCACACATTCACACATCCTGCATAGAGGTGTGCCGACTAGCCCAATATTGTGGAGGTGTTTTCATATTTGACAGTGGCCAGTCAGAAATCCTACTGTTAAGCGTAGATTTTTCCTGGTCATCGCCAGTTATTTCTTCGGTGCCAGCTTCCCAGAGTTGCCCAGGGTGATCCTGGCAAGATTGCATCTTTTGATTTCATCCCATCTCTTTGGGGATTGACCATGGGTGTGACGTTTGACTAGTTCAGCAATTGTCGAAGTCATCAGGCCGTAGGTGCCACTGGGTCCTAAAATTCTTAGTCCAGCCGCTTCCTTGGTTAAAGAGTCGGCAATGCGATTACCTTTACTCTTGTCATGCCCTTTAACCCACCTCAGGATAATGTTATTATCTACCGAGGCTTTGGCTAAATCTTATTGACACTCTAGTACTAGCCCTGAGGTTATACGTTGTCTGTTCAAGGCTAATAGGGCTTGTCTGCTATCAGTGCATATTGGTTATGTTTTTGTCAGGAATTACTTTCCTGGTTATTCCTTTTGCGGCGATTGAGATACCACGCTGGTATTTTCCCATTCCCCACTTAATCCTTAGTCTTAGTGATTTGGAGTACACTCCACATCCTGAGCCTTCTGTATTGCATTTGTAGCATCTGACTCAGTTCTCTGTTTTATTTGTATTTTGTAGGGTTTATTAAAGACAAATCTAGGTTAAATTGCATCACTGGTTGCCTGCAGCAGAGGTTGCGCAGTAAGCATTTCTCGTCATAGGCTCAGCCTCAAGTGACCTATTCCTTTTTCGAGGTTTACACCAGCCGTGTGCAATCGTAACCTGGCCATTAACGCAACCTCCTTAACGTACAGGTCCAGAGGGGTCAGACCAGTAACATAGGTACGTTACCATAGGTTACTGCAATGTAGATTCAGGTGACCACACGAGGTGAAAGACCCCATGCGCGGATAGTACCAAGGTATTTCACCTCTTCAGAGACGTTTAGTTTGCTTTGGAGATTTGCGGGAGGTTTTAAGTCCGATAATTTTTTTTCCTGGTGAAAAGGACCATCTCAGTCTTCTTGGGATCGATCGACAATGAGTTTTCCTTACACCATGTTTCTATTAATTTGAGCCCATTCTGCGCTCTATCGCGCAGTGTGTTCACAAATTTGCTGGTCTGCAAGATAACTATGTCATCTGCATACGCAATTGTGTGGAATCCATTATTGTTGAGGTGATTAATCAGGGTATTCATTGATTCAGCATATCGACGGCAATACTTTTTCGAAGCATCTTCTGTAAGTTCAACATTTCATTTATATACATTGCCAATTCTACAGCCTGTGATTTATAAATTTCGCATTGTTTGTACAAATTTCATTATTGTATATACGTGGGGTATTTCTTGAGTTTTGTTTTTTTTTTTCGTCACTCACTTGGCTGGGTAGTAGTTATTCTTTCTATATCATGTAAATGATTTCAAGGACAAATACATTATCAATATTATTATCGATACAACAATCAGTTACAATAAATTTACTTCAACTTATCATCACTTACATGTTTTGTTGAAATAGTTTTATTTGTTGGCCAAAAATGTTTGAAAAACGTGACAATCGGAAAATAATTTAGGGTCTACGCTTCTACAATGACCTCCAGACCTGCCAAGAAACATTACCTTTTCTTCAAGAAAAACAATAGGGAAAGTCATTATTTCTTCTGGATTCATAAACAATGTTTCTATGAACTCTGACCTCTAATTTTTTCAGCGAGCATCCACTCTGCTGCTACTCCTTTGGGCTCTCTACTCAGTGGGGTGCTAATGGAACGTTGCGGTAGAAAACTGGCTCTTCAGATAGCCTCAATGCCCCTCATTCTCGGCTGGATTCTGATAGCTTTTACCCCGAATCACGGCCTTTTGCTACTCGGGAGACTTATAGCAGGATTTTCAGCAGGATTGTCAGCTGCTGCTGGTCAAGTGAGTATTTTTCCGACGTATGAAAACTTTTGCTGGCAACATTATCAATCAATCAATCAGTTTTAGTACATGTTAAAAAAACTAATGGTATGATATCATTTGCCGCAGAGAGGGCATTTTAAAAAATTTTTTAAATAGAAAGGGAAGTCTTTTGACTCTTCGTTCAAAGAATGTTCCAATTATCTTTGTTTGAAGGTGATTGACAATGCCCGAATGCCCAAAGCCCGAACTAATTTCATTAGTTCGGGCTTCCATTGTCTAATATTATACAGTGTCACCATTAAAGTGCGCACCATATGGGAAACTTTTTTTTTTCGAAAAATTTCAATGAAGTTTAACTTCATTTTAGAGAGAAATTAAAAATTTGCTATAAAAAATTTTTAACATGACTGGTGCAAAGTTTCAATTTCTCTCTAAAAATGTCCGTATAAGTAAAAATGTATCAGAAAAGTTAAACTCCATGAGGAGTTTGTTATGTATACATGAATTGATGACAATTAACCGAACTTGTTTTTTAAAATAAAGGAGATATCTGTCAAAAATAAGCAAAACGTTAACTAGTTGCATAAAATTTGGCATATGGATATGAAATTGCCGTAGACAAAACTTTTTCAAGTAACTTTTTGTTAAATTCGATCTAGAAATGCACTTTTTCAATTTTTTTCAAAAAAAAAGTTGAATTTGACAAACACTGATCGTCAGTGGGTCGCAGTTGGCCGCATCATTTTAAGTTAAATTCAAAGCACAAACAAGTGCCGAAGTTAGACTTCATTGAAACTTTTCGAAAAAAAAGTTTCCCATATGGTGCGCACTTTAATAATAATTATATCAAGCAGAATTGAATTACAATGGAATAAAATACTAGTGAAATATAGAACCATTGGACAAAACATAAAAATAAACAGTTAAGAGATTCCAAACTGAGTTACTTCACGACGTTTCGATTGTCAGTATCCACAATCGTCTTCGGGTGATGACTGGACTATTTCCTCCGAAAGATGACTATTTATGGGTCATTCGAGTACTTCCACTTATCTCCACTTTCCTCTTTACGCGTCACCGGTTCAGCGGGAGATGACCGTTTGGCGGGAGTTGGCCATTTTTCGATTGATTATAGGTTTCCATATGTTGCGTATCTCTACGCTAGCTTGGCTGAATACTTTGTTGAACAACATGTATGCGGCTTATTTGAATTTCCTTCTAAACCAGTGTTCTTCACCTTGGGACCACTCGATGTTATGTTGATGGGTCCAAACATGCTCTGCTATTCCTGATTTGCTGGTTTCCACTTGCTGTGTATTTATCTTGTGCTCGACAATATGGACTTTCAATAGCTTTTCAGTTTCACCATTTTCCATCTATTCATCACCCGTACCGTATAGCTGCAACTCAATTCGATGAGTATCTTGATCGTCTGAAATTCCGAATAACTGAAGCAATAGCGTCAATCATCAATCTTATATCGCTTTCGGAATACCGAATTCAGACGTAATTTTTCACTCGTTTTAATTAAATATCGATGAGACGGAGTTCGTTCGAAACCGTGAAATGAAATTGGCATTGTGGAAATTCAATTCCATGAAATGAATTCGGAAGGTATCAGTTGAGAGATTTATTGCGAAATCATTCTTTACAGTTTTTGGAATATGAAACGTGATGATCTACAAGTGAGCAGTTCATGGAGACATCGCTTGTCATGAAATTGGGATGAAAAATGTCAATAATGAAAATTTCAAATCAGTGGATATATTGAAAATTATTATTTTGAATTAAAGGAAAATTTTACACCTAGTTGCACAGAAACAACATTCGTCTGATTAGAAGAAAATTGTGGAGTCCCTCAAGATTATATTCTGACACCGCTGTTTTCTTTTCTTATATAATTATACTTCAGATTTTTGCGCAGAATCCACTGAAAGAGTTGTTTTCTTCGTCAGATATGTGCCACACATACTTACAAAATGATAGATCCCACATGAGAGGCAAGGGCTTGGTTATTAAGCAATATCTATCTGAAAGAGCTCAGTCTGTGCTGTTCAATGGAATGGAAAAAAGGAGTGCCCCAAGGATCAATACTTGGACCCCATTTGTATACTATTTATACTTCGCAATTTAATAAACATATACGTCACTTCCCAGTTCACTATTTCGCGGACGACACACAACTTTACATATCCTTTAAAGAAAGTGACATTCATCTTGTCTGTGACCATATGAATTCCGATCTACAAACTTTGGCTTCTTTATCGAAGAAATTCTGTTTGACGATGAATTCAGCTGAATCTAAAGCATCGCTTTTTGGACGCAAAGGAGCACGAGAAAGAAATAAACACAATTTAACCCTGTTTCTAGACAATTCGCCAATAATATTTTCCAGTTGTGACAGAAATCTGGGGCTCATGCTAGATATTGAACTATACTATAACAATTTTCAATTGAAGGTGATTAATTAGCAACGTCGCACTTGAAGTGACCAACGGATAATCCTCTTACCAACTCTGCAGAGGTGGCGCTACCTGTTGTCAATGGTAAAACTGATTACATTTTCTTATTATGCCTAATAGAGTACTTCAAAAAAACAGAAAAATTTATAAAATAATTATTATATTCCTTTTAAATAGAAAGAGAACTACAAAGCAAGGAAATAATTACCTATATTATGCTTATGAAGTTTCAGAATCCATTGACTCGTCCGAAGATTAATCCCCAGTCACACTTAGATCCATTATTATTTGGTCGAAAACAGTGTCTACCAATCCCATCCAATCTCCACATTTTCTCTTCTTCCTTGATCACATGGGCTACAGCATTAGCCCAATCTTCTCTCCGTATCCGTTCCATTGGACATCAGAAATTTTATATGTCACGTTTTCACGAGCTACGTAACCCTTAATTTGAGCCCAGATTAATTCTATTGGGTTTAACTCGCAATGGTAAAGAGGAAGTCTCAAAATGGTGATGCCTTCAGCACGAGCTATTGTATCCACCACATGCTGGCGATATCTGTCACGGTGCTGTTTAATGACACTCATAAGCTCGGCCTTAACCATGTCCTCGGAAAATGGAATTCCTTTTTGTCCTAACCAACTCTGCATGTCTGCTCTTCTGGGGGTCATAGTTGGCAGCTGTTCTACTAATCGGCTGTGATAACTATTACAGTAGTATCTTGCTAGATCTTAGATACTGTGTGACCAGCATTCACCTACGTTCCGTCCAGATAATAAATCTTTTTGTGAGACGAACGCATTTCTCTAACAGAGCGAAGATATCTCCGTCGCAATGAGATTATATCTTCTCTTTCTATTGAGACAGATTTACGGGATCGTTTGGCATATATAAATTTAAAATCTTCTCTTATTATTTTCCTTAACTTCTATCTGCTCATTTTTGGAATGAGATCATCATCCATTACCTTTGAATGGTATAGAGTACAAAATTTGTCTGATACTCGTCCAATTCAATTTTTTTTACCACGACAATGTACTTTTGGAACTTGCACATTTTTTTCACGTACAATGAGTTCAATTGTCGACACGGATATTCCCGTTGAAAATGAACACTGGGCTACAGCTTCCACTGTACGGAGTGTATTTTTTAAAATTTCGTACACTCTACAAAAAATCTGTTTTTCTTCTAACGACATAAACTTCCGCTTTCTTTTTACATTACTTGGACCTGCTACGGCATACATCTCAATAGTATAAAAATAATAAAATTCAATGGTATTATTCAGCTATTTGTCAGTTGTTTACTTACCTCAAAAACTATTATAAAGTTGATGTATTTTGAAAAACACTTTATTGTGAGATTTTCACTAGAATAGATTAACAAATCTGCAACACGTGTTTCGCTGCGCAGTAGCTTTCTCAAGCGTGTTCACTAACAAACTGAATTCTTCATACACTGTGATTTATATATCATTTTTGAAATATTACTATCTATCTAGAAACTAATAATATTCTAGGGACTAATTAATGACAGTTATACCTGAGTTCAACGAACATTTATACCTGAGTTTATCGAACATTTATACTTTAATGACTAGGTCAACTAATCATCTCACAATAAAGTGTGAATGTGATGAAAATCTATGATAATGTATTTTAAAAAACAAGTATCGGCCAACTCTATCTTATATTTTAAAGTTAATAAATAAAATAATAAATAAAGTCTATTTAATGAATATAATAAAATATATTTAATAAATATAAAACAAAGTCACCTTCACGAGAAACAGAACATACTTCGCCTATGCAGATAAAGACGCTTGATAATGAAGAACTCGAATGACTAGTTATGGCATTTTAAGGACGCAAATATAATAGTTTGATCAGTTTACCGATGTTTCAAAGTATTTAACGAACTGGTTCACCTATTCGCTCGTACATCCCCCTGTAACAAGATAGCAGTAGCTATCTTGTTACGGGGGGCAAATTGGCAATACATAGACAATAAAAATGACCCCGGTAAGAATTTAGTTTTAACATTTAACATTGTTGCCGTTAGCTCTCAGTTACCTTCGTCGACGTAGTCATATTTCATCTGCATTTTCTGAATCGGGCTGGCTAGATATGAGAAAAAGGCGTTTACTTCATTTTTGTTCTCTTACACACAAATTTTTGTTGTTTAAAAAACAGTAAAGTGAGATTTTGCTCACAAATCCACGATTATCCGTCTTAAAAATCAACTTACAAGTCCTCGTTTCAAAATTTCGCTTTTCAAGTCATCTTTTTCCTACAATATGGCCAAGGTGTATAATTGTTTACCTATATAAATGAGAAATATTTCCCCATTTGCATTTAAAAAATCAGTCACCACTCCTAGTGCAACTGACAAATTGATTATAGATTAGTTTGTGTGGTCTGACATATTGTATTTTTCTTTATAGTGATTATAATCTTTACTAAATATATATTCTGTATATTACATAAAATTTTCAGTTTCCCTGTATGATCTGGGAAAATTTTTGGAAAATCATTTGTTTCCAGGTTGAGTGGAAGAGGGCGTCTTTTCGATAACTCACCTCACCGTCAAGACCGAACTCTGTCTTTTGCCGGATTACCATATAAGTTTGCATTTTGAGTTTGTTTTCTATTTCATAATTCTATTTTGTAGTCTGGGGCAATAAAATCTATCATTATTATTATTTTCACCAGAACTTGGGCAATTCATATACCGGAGTAGTGTTTGAGGAGTTACTTCTGGTCTTGTCTATTGGTGGCGCGATGGCCAGCCTACTGAATCAACTGCAAACAAAGCTTATATCTAGTTAGAAAAATGGCCTGGGGAAGTTAGTTAGGGAATCTGTAGATTACGCTATAGACGACCCTTTCCGCTCCAGAAAGATCCGTCTCTCGCCTGAGTGAAGGCCCCACGATGTCCGTAAAAGATGATAAGTTTCTTCATCAAACACCCCAGCCAGAAAGGAGCTGTTTACCATTCGTCCTCCTGACGAATATACCCTTAAAGGGTGAGGGAGGCAGGCTTCAACCTGATTTATATGAAGACGGATCAAACGTGGAGCTGGTGTTCCAAAACCGGTCTAGGGGTGGTCAACGCCACCAAATGAAATTCACTTCAGCCATCCATCTATAGGAAGTTACTTTCGACGGATATTCCTAAGGGAATATGTTAAAAATAGGGTATTGTTATCATTGATTACTATACCCTATTTTTTCTATGTAGGTTTGTTTTATGTTGTAGATGTGCAATAAGAAAGGATTTTTAAATATTCCAACTGGGGCGGCAGCCGCGGGCGCAGAAACGATCCTGGCATATTTAATAAACACCCTGTACATTGAATTTGTTGGAAATCTATCAAAATCTTCAATTTTTTTTCAAAGTCAAAATTTTTATAATGGTTTGGGATTATTTATTGCGATTTGTATCAGGAAAGATCTTCCGCTGTAAATTCTTCGATCTTAATTTACTTAGTTGACAGATGAAAACCGTACCAACCATTCATCACAATAATATAATTTGGAACCTATTCGATTTTGGACAATTACTTTTTTTTTCAGGTTTTGATAGGAGAAACTACCGAACCTCATCTTAGAGGAATGTTTTCCAGTGTTCCTCTGGCAAGTTATTCTTTTGGAATCCTTTTGGTTTACGCACTGGGTTCACTGCTTCCCTGGCGATACGTAGCAGGTATTATATACAAGGGGTATCAAAAATGTTTCAACTTTCACAGCTATACACTGGATTTTTCAAATCACATTGTCACTTGAGTGGACAATATTACAAATATGAATTATGTCCGGTGGATTGATAGAAATATCTCTTACAAATTGGTTGAAATTGAGAATAGGAATGGTATTTATGAGTCGTTTGAGAAAATCTCAATTCAGTAATACTGTGTTAAACTTTGAGGAAATTCATAATATTTTAGATCAGCCAAGTACGTCTTTTGTGGTCAACAATATCACTGAGTGTTATCAATGATCATGTACAAGAATTCTATATAAATTCCTAAATACAAATGATATTTCCCAAGTAGCTTCCGTATCTGGGGTTGTCTTATATTTTAGCAGTGGGATCTTCGTCATATATTTCTTTCGCGTAAATTCATCAAGCGCAAACTACCCCGTCATCACATCATGGCACAACTCGAGTTTATAGGCATGAAGATGTAGAGAAGTAGAGATATGGCAACGTTGTTTGTGAATGACAGTGTCTACGAGTGGCGTGATGAAACAGGTTCAATCATTCATTACCACTAGCAGTGTTGTTCCTAGCGTTACTATAGTAACAAATTGTTACATTTTGACGTTTGAAAGTACCAAGTTACGTTTTCACTCATTCTGTTACATTTTAAGAACCTATGCACCATAACTGACAAGTGACACATCAAAACTGACAAGTGACACATTAAAACTGACTGTTTAACTGAGAGTTAAACGTATCAAAACCGAAGGTTTCACACACCTCCTGTCACTTTTGATACGTCAACTATCACTTTTCAAGTGTGGACTCATTTAGGAGTTACAGTTTTTTGTAAAATGTTACTTTTTTCGACATACTCTGTTACAATATTTTTTCCATTGCAGTCCGCTGATACCTGTATACCAGGAAAATGAATGTTAAGTTGCCCCATCAGACATCTAATTTATTTTCTGGGATACCATAAAACGTTAATAATGTCGGATAATAGTTGTCAGTTATTGGAAAAATACAACTTTATATGAAATATTGATTTGTATAATAAACACAAGTCATTGCATTTATATTTAGACACAATACAAGCTCCTATCGACATTTTCAATTACACACTTCGAATGCCACTTCAACTGAAATCCATTAAAACAGTAATACAAAAACACTATATTATTTTTTCTCTAGGTCTAAGCACGATACTTCCAATTACAGCATGTATAGTGTTCTTCTGTCTGCCCGAGAGTCCAGTTTGGCTCATCAGGCATGGGCAAATAGAAGAAGCTAAAATAGCTCTCACTTGGTTAAGAGGAGGCAGCAAAATCAAGGTGAGCTTTGTTTCTCTCACTTACTGAAAATAACAGACAGGAAAATTTGGATGAAATATCATTATTTTTGGGGTGTATTTGCAGAGAGTATGAGACACCATATTTTCTGGCATGTGAATTCTCAAGACATCAGAGACGAAAGAAGAATTCAGTTATATTTTGACATTCAATGAATTTTCAGAAATCTCAAATGTATTGATTTGCAAGCATTCCAGAAGATTGAGTTTCAAACTCTCCTCTTTTGAAAAATATTTGCAAATGTGGGATTGGTCATTCAATTTAAGAAACTATTCTCCTGTTTGTTTATTCTTTGGACCAATTCTTTGGCCAATATAAATTTTTGAGCATAAACCACAAGTCACCTTGCTATATAAGCTGGAAAGTCTCGGGCTGTTGAGCTCACAAACTGTTAAAAGCTTTCAACAGATTGTGAGTTATTTTGCTATAAGAGTTACACTACTTTACTGATTTTTGATGGGAAAAATACCGTACAAGCGAAGCAATGGCTTGAAATGTTTTGAAAGGACGTTGATTTACATCTTCAAATGTGGTAGATACATCGATGATGCAGAACGCAGTGGACGTCCAAATGAGGCAGTAACACCAGAAAACATAAAGAAAAAACACAAAATCGTTTCGAATGATCGAAAAGTGAAGTTGCGTGAGTTGGCTGACATTGTAATAGGGGAGCCCAAGCGGGGACCGCGGGATTTACTGAAGCGCGGCAGATTAATATACAGGGGGATACCTTGTACCCGGTTAAGTACCTCTACCAAATATGAGCCTTATATATAAGGCCGCCTGTGAAGTATAAAGGATCAGATTAGTCAAAAAAAAATGATTATCAGAAATTCTCGAGCGCGTCAGATTGAGGTAGGGTGAGTTAATTACATGCTAAAAAGTGTATATTCCAGTAATCTGACAATTTGAGAGTGACGTAAAGAAAGAGGAGGACAGCAAAGTTGTGAAAAAATAACGTCATTTCGACATTCTCGAGCGTAGTTGATTTTTTTTATTCTGAAGGAACCAATTCAAAATATATAATCTAACGATTTCCGCAAGCCAAAATAACAAAAATTCGTCGATAAAGTTTAATAATATAGGTGTGATACCTATATTTCCCTCTGCGAGTTTCTATTCCTCTTTCACTTTTTCTCTATCTATTACTCTCTCACTCCGTCCCCACTCTGAATTCTGTTGCCATGACGCCATCACAGCTGATCACAGAGACTCGTTCGTGATGAAGATGATGATTAATTAATCAATTGATTATAAAATATTGAATTTTTTTATAATTATTCTCTTATAAATACAAGTATTCTACTTAAAAAAAACATACACCCATTTATTTGCATGCTATTTCCTGAGCTTTTCAATCAATTGAGTTCAATGATTTGAAAAAAATTAAAAACAAAATTTTTGTCAGATTAGGCGAATCCCTCTAGATAGTCGTCAGATTATGAGACAGCACGTCTAGAACATAAAGATGAACGATATATATCCTAATCTGACGCGCTTGAGTATTTCAAAATGGCGAATTTTTTTGCACATTATAATAATGGCCGCGAGTTTGCTTCAGATCGAAATCATCAGATTATTGAATGAGAGCATTTTTTCTTGCATTCAACCCCTCAGAAAAATCTGACGCGCTCGATTAATTTTTTTTTCTTTTCCCTTTTAACCCTTACGTACAACCACCCGCATCATGCAAACTATCAGAATAACATACGAATATTATTAAAAATACGTAGGACATTGATGCTATTAATATCTGACGCGCTCGAGTATGTCCATGCAACAGTATTTTTTACATATTTCCCCACCGATGAAAAGGTATATATTATATAACAGTTTTTCCTTCTTATCATCTAAGTTTTGCAACCTAATATGTCTCTATGACGCTCGAGTAAATCCCCATTTTGCATCGTGGGCTCCCCTATTATTGTAAAAATATTAAAAGAACGAGTTGGCTTTATATTGCAGGAGCATTTGAATATGAAAAAGCTCTGTTGAAAGTAGATGCCGCGCGAGCTCACTGTTGACCAAAAACAAGAACGTCTTGATGATTCTGAGCAGCGTTTGGCCACATAACAAACCGGAATTTTTGCGTCGATATGTGACAATGGATGAAACATGCATCCATCGCTTCACTCCGGAATCAAAACAATCGTCATCTGAGTTGAGAGCAACTAGTTAACCTCGTCCAAAGCGCCCAAAAGCACAACAATCGGCTAGAAAAGTTATGGCTTCAGTATTTTGAGATGTGCGTGGTTTAATATTCAACGACCCCATTTGAAAAAAAATGGTGCTTTATCAGAAGATACATATTGTCACAAATCAATGATGGCCAAATTGGCATTAACTAGGATTCTCATTGCTTTCCCATTAACCATATTTTCCAGATTTGGCTCCCAGCGACCACTGGCTGTTAGCTGACCTCAAAAAAATGCTCACTGGTAAGAAATTTCGCTCTAATGAAGAGATTAATGCTAAAACTGAGGCCTATTTTTAGTTAAAAGATATATCGTTCTGCAAACGTGTTATTGAAATGTCAGAGCGGTGCTAGAATCATTTTGTGACTCTTGATGATGAATAAGACCAATTTTGGATGAAAAAAAAGGTTTTTTTTCTTAGGCCTGGGACTTTTCTGCCCAGATTACATACGCCCAAGCTGTTAGATACTGAAGATTCTTCTTTTGTTTCCGATTGACAATAAAGAAAAAATGAATTCTTCAATCGTTCCAACCATACATTAGAGGTTCAAACTTTGTAATGTTCAACAAAAAGCATCGTCAACCACATTCAAACAAAAATTCACTTGACCTATTTTCCTTTTTCCAGGCAAAAGAAGAAACAGAGCATCTCATAGATCGCCTGGAAGCGGAATGCCAGAACCACAAGAAAACGACATTCGCAACCCTCTTTCAGCCAGAAGTCTTGAAGCCGCTGATCATCATCAACGTCTTCAACGTGATGCAGATCCTTTCTGGAACATACCTCGTAGTTTTCTACGCCGTAGACATCCTGAACCACGTTCAAGGAGGTGCTAGCTTGGACAACTTCCTCGCGGCAGTCCTGACAGCCGGAGTCCGCTTCATATTCTCGTTGATGTCGAGTTTTCTTCTGGCCCTCGTAGGCAGGAGATTCCTTGCGATGACATCTGGCCTAGGAACTGCGATATCAGCACTTTTCCTAGGCACTTTTCTCCACCAAAACTGCCAGGGGTTGGACTACATTCCCGCCCTGTTCATACTCATATACGTGGCGGCGAACACTTTGGGTTTTTTGACACTGCCCGGAGTTTTACTCGGAGAGCTGTTCCCCGCCAAAGTTCGGGGACTGGCGGGCGGAATAACGTTCATGCTATTCAATTTCATGCTGTTCGCGGTCGCGAAGGTTTTTCCCTTCGTGAAAAACTCGGTAGGGATTTCGGGAGTTTTCTGGATTTTCGGGCTGACGTCTCTCGTGGCCAGTTTGTTTCTGTTTTTAACGCTGCCCGAAACGAAATCGAGAAGTTTGAGCGAGATTGAAGACTATTTCCAACAGAAGGGTTTTTTGTGGGTGAGGAAGGACAAGTGGGAGGAGAAAAAAGGGCGGAATAGGGAGACTGAAAAATTTACTTCGTAATGTAGAGTTAAGACTGTTGTATTTATTTAGATCGTAGGTATTTATGGTGTAGAATAAATAAATTTTGTGTATTAAAGTTTCATTAATGACTCTTTGTTTTATTATTGATGTGCTATGAAATGTTGGGTTTTCCAGGTTTAATTGAAACCAGTCGTTACCAAGAGTTCCATTTTATTCGTATCACAGTTACATCGAAGAGTACATGCACTCTAATGGATTTTCTTTGTATGTCACTTGTAACAAAATCAGACAACTAAAAAGTAAATGGAGGACCATTTTCCGGTGCGTCCTAATCATCCACACTCAAATTTCCAGTCAAACCTGAAGGATCATTTTCATACCAGACAATTTCAGTTGTATTTAGAAACGGTATGTTATATGTAAAGAGCAATGTGTACAAAACTAAACCTTCAGATTTGAACGACTTAAAGGAATGAGTAACGCTTGCTATTAGGTCGATCACGCCTGTTAAATAATGTTTGAAGACAGTTTTATTTGAGATTAGGATGTTGCCAAGACGTTCGTGATGAACATTTTGAACATCTACTTCGTTTACATCTATAGTTCTTTTTCGTTTTCTACATTTCATTACGTTTTGCATCACATTTTAGTTTTTGAATGTATTTTATCGAACCACATGATTGTAATTTATTTCATCTTAATTGTTGCAATAAATTCTAAAACGATATCATTTTTGAATAGAGAATGAAGAAACCTTTCAAACGATATATCACAAGCCTATACTTCCCATTTAAAAAATTGGGAGTTGTTCCTGTCATTTGAAGAATGTCAAATTATAATTCACATTTGACGTGTTTCGGAATTTTTTTCAAATATGTACAGTAACCGAAAAAATGAATTTATTCCATTTGGCTTTTACACACCGTATGTGTAGTTGTCAACACTTGCCGAATTCATTCGAGCCAAAATTATTTTCCCGATTGTACTTCATAATGAAAGTTGGTGGTGGATACTGTGGACAATTAGGTACCATCCTTTTTTATCGTTCGCGCATGTTATTTGCCAGAACCACGATGATACAAATTTCATATGAGCCCATCATTCCTACCTATATTGGGAGCATACCTTGGGAAAATATCAGCTTTTAGAAAAGAAGGAAGGCCTAGCATTCACAGGCTCTTCGACTATATGGTTTTTAGTATTTTGTGTATCGTTCAATAGCACTCATACGGATTGTCCTTTGTTGCTAAGATATGAATCAGCTTGATATTTCAAGCCATAGCCTTCTCCCAAACTACGACTGACAGAAATGTAACATCTGTCAAAATTTTTCACTATCAACTACTGAAACCATTTTTTTACTCCATCAAAAATGACCTGCAATAAGCCAATCAACAAAAACAACCGGTGTATGAAAAGCATCTTTGCTAGATATATATATGATTCCAGAGGAAACCCTACTGTTGAAGTGGACTTGTTAACGGACTTGGGGCTTTTCAGAGCATCAGTACCTTCAGGAGCTAGCACAGGTGAATGATTCAAACTTTTCCAATAATTCAAGAAATCTAATAATTTGTTGTCTATAATTTTCCAATACAAATCATGGAATTATAAAACAACAAACACATCATCTGAAGTACTTGATCTGCAAATACCTTCTCTTCCATAAAATAAAATGTAGGATGCCTCCAGAGACTCCAATAAATTCAATACATCGCCAGAACACTTAGTGACACGACTATCATCAAACTTAAACCAGTCCGTTTTGTCTTTGACCAAGGCGTAATAATGACCAAATTCAACGCCAGAACCACAGTGAACAACGACTTCATGAAGATTATAATAGTGGTCTGCTAGATTGAAGTGTTCATCTATTTCGAACCTTCGTAAGAGTTTGGTGCTTCCATCAGAGGTTGAGTCATGTTTGAAGATCATCAGTGTTATTATTAGATTGACTGGAGCCTCAGCTATACTTGTTTTCTTGTAACAGTCAGTTAGTTTGGCGCATGTTTGGTAATACAGTCGATCATCACCTGTTAAAATCTCCATTTTCAGACGATTTAATAATAAGCTTTGCACGGACTGGTTATTAGTCATATTAGGAAACGCTATTAGTTGGAGTTCTATAAATTCACATACGTTTTTGCTATCTCTTGAACATTTACTACAAAGTAAACAAGTGAGGATTTTTTCAGCCAAAAGATTTCTTTCAAGAAATTGAAAGAAACTCACAAAAATATTTCAAGACCAATTGAAGAAAGATGCATATTTGGTAGTACTATTGAGATTTTATAGAAGGTGTTTTACTAACAAAAAATTGGGTGGTTCTGAATTTATGTTTTTCAGGACGGAAAGTGATTATTATACAAAACTAATGAGTCTTGTCTTTTTGCGCATGTCGGACTGTTAGTAAGCGCTTGTCTTCATTTCTGAAAACTGAAAAAAATGGGCACTTTCTTCAGACTTTCGCTTGTATCTTCTTTATGGTGCACTTCGGCTACAAAAAATTCCACATAATATTCTATTATTCATGAAAAATTGCTTGCTTATATCCCTCGCCAACATGATGATAATGATGAGGGAGGGAGGGGGTTGGCATATTCATGATAAATAGTATTTCTTTTTTATGATCTATCATTGAGTCCTATATCTTCATTGTTTGTATTTTGTTTCAGTATTGTTATTCGTCTAATTTACCAACTGACTAAGTAGTTCTTGAGTTGAAGAACCCTTTGCAGTGACATTTCACCTTTTCACATTATAATATATCGTTTCGTTAAAATCTATTGGAAATGTAAATAAAGTCAGTATTTTATTATTATCATCGTTATTATTATCAGACTCAATACACCACAATTCAAGAGATCCTTCACATACAACATAACGAATATTCACAATGATATTTCGAAAAATATTAAGATTCACAGTATTAAGTCGATATAATTATTATTATCATCATTATTGAACAGTTGACACCTGTTAATCTGATAGTGTCAGCGATTGTCTAAATGTAAAAGTACGTTGTGGTAATGACCTTTTTTTTCATGTTGTCATTTGCTGAATATGGATTCATTTGAATACTTATAAGTATGTTTATTAAATTGGTGGATGTACCCGTTACTACGTGGTAGGAAATCATAATGAAGGAAAGAGAATTGAAACTTTCTATGTTTTATACCACTTTCATTTGTAACTAACGTTACTGCAGGTTCGTCCTATAAGGACATTTTCAAACTTACACAATATACTAATGTATAAGTTTTAAAATGGCAGGCTCCTAGGCGATGGTAAAACCCGTCTACGGAATTCCGAATGGCCTCAGCCGGTATGTTATGTGATTCCACTCTAATTCTGCTTTTTAGATCTTCAATATTAGCCGGCCTATTTTGATAAACCTTGTCTTTCATATATCTCCAATAAAAATAATCTAATGGCGTTGAGTCTGGGGATCTTGGCGGCCATTCAATTGTACCACGTCGTCCAATCCAGCGTCCTGCAAATATGTCATCGAGATATTATCTGACATTAATACCAAAATGTGGGGGAGCGCTGTCCTGTTGGAACCAAAGTGTTTCAGTGGGGATATCTGGATCTGCTGCATTGGGAAACATAACAGCTAAAGCAGGGACTAATTCAAAGCGTAAAAAATCTAAGTAGCGTTTCCCTCAAAAAAGTATGGCCCTAATATTGTGTTGTTGATGATGCCCGCCCATACATTTACTTTCTGAGGACGCTGCGTACGAGCTTTGCATATCCAGTGTGGGTTTTCCTGACTCCAGAATCGATAGTTGTGCCTGTTAACTACTCCATGTAAATAAAAAGTAGCTTCGTCCGAAAAGAGTATGTTGAGTGGAAACTCATTATTCTCGTCACATCGCCTCATTATTTCCTCACAAAATTGCAAATGCCTGTCACATCTTCCAAGAGCTCTTGGACAAGACATACCTTATATGGGTGGTATTTTTCTGTTTTCAAAAACCTCCCAATCGTACGTCTAGGCGCAGGATTGTTTTGGGCTAATGAAACCGTTGACAAATGTGGATCTTCCTGCAGGGATACGGCAATGTCCAACCTCACTTTTTGTTTAGCAAATTAAAAAAGAACACTTTGAAGGTACCTACCCAATTAATAAACTAAACATACATATTTTCAATTTCAACCAGAAATGCCACAATTTCAAAACTGAGTCAAGACAATAGTCCTTATCAGGGCATTCATTTTGGTACAAAAAATGCAACAACCTTTTTCTCTTTTTGAGGTACACTGGTGAACAATTGCTTGGGATGGAACTAATTTTATGTGTAAGTTTTTGGTGAAAAAATAAAATCCACAGAATGTTGATGCTACATTACTTTATCAATTTTACACATAAATCAATAAAATTTGTTGTGGTGCCTGGCCCGGTTGGTCTGTTCTTAAAATTTGTAAACTTTTAGAAAGTAGGTACTGGTGATCCTTAGCAATTGTTGAGCAATGTACATCATCACCACTTATTTGTTTTTTGCAACGTTAATTCACCCGTAGATAGCACTAAGTAGGTATTTCTAACTTTTTTGGTTTTAAAAGAGTTTTTTCTCATTTCGTGGTAACCGCATGAGTAAAAAAAATAAAGGGTATAGTCAGATTCAATTATTTACGAGCTTTTCAATGAGTCCATACACGACATAGGTTTGCATTTGAAAAAAAAAGTTGGGGAGGGTTGCAGCTAAGGGGTTGAAAAAAAATATTTAATTTTATTGCCAAAAAATGCGTACAATGTCAAGTCAACTGACGTGTTTCAGCGTTTTTTTCCTAAAATACTAGTTAAAAAGATATTAATTTTATTCCGGACTTTTGCGCACCCCTGTATGAATAAGTATGTATTTTTTCTACTGGTACAAGAATAAAAGTGGACAAGCAGAATTATAATATTATATTTGATTTCTGCTATCTGTCAAATGAATTCATTCATTATTACTTATCATTATGTGCATTTTTGAATTTGTCAGACTGCCAATTTCAGAGCCCAATTATAGCCACATTGCAGTAACAAGTATCATATTAATACTTTTAGGTAATTTCATAATCTACAAAAAGGATATACTATTTTTCAAATAACCCCCTGGACTTGTGAAGTAGATCGGTTTGGTAAGTAAATTCATAACATCATCTTTGTTCTTTTCTGGCAGATATGTCGAAGTTTTTACCGATACTTGCGGAGAATTATTCAGTGTTGGGAAAGAAGTTCCACCTCAAGGTGAATATATGTCTTTCCGGTATCCAGATGGTGCTTGACGCTAACATCTACAAGCTACATCTTCTCCATGTCCTTTTTGGAGATGGATCGTAGCACATTTGTATTTCCTAAAATCCATACCAAGGGTTAATGATGATTATTCTTTCCTGAGGCATAACATTTGGGTTATCTGTATAACATGTGCCAATTGGGTTCAGAGGTGAAGCGACGTCAGTTCATGATACCCCACTATTTGTTCGGTTATGCCAAGACATTAGAGCAAATACACCAGGCCATAAAGAGATTATTTTATTTTTTAGGACAAAACACATGAACTACAGTAAAATTCTTGAGGCCTGTGCGAAAGTAGCGATTCACGTTGGATTTGAATCGTAGGAGATTAAATTATTCCACATGAACGCAGAACAGTGAAGTTCAAGGTATACTGAATTGGTCCTCAAAACCATGAGTAGCCACAGTCCGTTGGGTATGTCTGATATGTACCGCTCTTGGTGGAATCAAACGGCCAAGTCACTTATCACCTTCCGTGAAACTATCTATATAAGAGAGGCAAATCCCCAACCTTTCTTTGATGTTCCAGACTATCAAGATTGCTTGTGATGTTCACGTCTCCAATCAGCCGGATGGCTGTTTTTTGGATGGAATTCAGCAGCTTCAGGGTATACTTAGGGGCGGAGCTCCCTACATGAGAACAATACTCCAAAAAGGTCTGATCTGAGCTTTATAAAGCATCAAAAGTTGCTGAGGTTTGTACAGTTTTCTGGTTTGGAACAGTATTCCAAGCTTTTGAGAAGCAGCCTTTGCAATTTCAGCAACATGATTGTGCTTATCGAAGCAGAAGGCGGATTTTTCTGTCCTTACATTATTATATCCGGTTCGGAGACATCTATCTTTTTGGAGAAAACCGTTGCCTGGGTTTTCATGGCATTGTTTTGAACCTGGTTACTTTCAACTCAATTCGAAATCACATCTAGATCCGCATTAACATATGCAACCTTCCGCTGCCGGTGAAGATGTGCATCCGCAGCTGGTGTCCTGGAATCCAATTGGAATGACGAGACAAGTATGCTGTCGCCCGCAAAGCAGTATATTGGATTTTGAATATATGGTATTGAATATTATGGTTAGCTCACGATTTCTTGATTTTCAGCAAAGCTATTGAAGCTCTTCATACCCTCAAGAAGCTGACTATTTCTTCTTCAAACCTATCATTTACCTTTGCTGTCAATCATTTTTAGTGGTTTCTAAGTTTTTTCTAAATCCGTGAACATCACCGCCCATCTCTTATGGTTTCCTTCTGCAGCTCTTTTAGTTCAATTCGTTCGAAACATTAGTTTATTGATATAGCCCTTGAACCAAGTAGTTCTATCCCATTTTCAAATCCTGATCTATCATCAGTTCGTTCCAGACACTTCCAATGAAAACTCCAGGGATTTTTGTATACTGCATTCCATCATTTTCATCATTCAATTCAAAAATATATAATATTCCTCAGGAATCCATGAAGCATTGGAGCTCCGGGATGAGTCGCCAAATGATCACCATGGCAAAGGCGTTAACCAAGCTGTCGAGAACATAAACTCCATTATCGCCCCAGCTCTCCTGCAAGAAGATTTAGACGTCACGGAACAGGAAAAAGTTGACGACTTCATGCTAAAACTCGACGGAACCGAAAACAAAAGTAAACTAGGCGCCAACGCTATTCTAGGAGTTTCTCTAGTAGTCTGCAAGGCCGGAGCTGCTAAAAGGGGATTACCACTGTATAGGCACATCGCTGATTTGGCTGGTAACAAAAATATCATCCTGCCTGTGCCTGCTTTCAATGTCATCAACGGAGGATCCCATGCTGGTAATAAGTTGGCCATGCAGGTATGGAATATGGGTCCCAATGGGGCATGTAGGAATAGGTTAATCATCAACTATTGAGACTAATTTGGAATGTAAAAAAAATATGAAAGAAATCATGGAAAAATTGGTGGTTTCGGGTTTTTTGGCTATGGTTTGCAGGTTTTTATGCCTGACGTTTCTACTACTGCAGTAGACATTTTCAGAAGCAATGAGGTAACGGTCCAAGTGCTTAAGTTGTTTTCAACGCAGAAACTGTAATGTTGGTGAATAAGCTAGTGTTGTAGGGGCCCTGCCATAGGCGTATGCGTCTTCAGTGACGGAGTTAGTATACAAAGTAGTTTTTTGGCTTCAGAATGTTTACTTTGAACTAGATTGGTACATCAAGAAGGGTTAGTGGTGAGTTTTAACAAATTTAGTAAAGCTACAATGCTCCCAATTCTAGGATAATGAGATTGAGGGGTTTCATCGTGGTCCTTGGACTTGCGATTCTTGTTCCTTTTGTGGGTGGTGTTGTCCTTAATTAAGTTGCAGCGAATGATCCTGGCGCAATAGCTGGTGGTCAGTTATTGGCAAAGTTATGGTTCAGGACATCCTTATCGAGGATGTCCTGGGATGGCTCTGAGATATCCTCTACAGTTCCTAGGAGCCTTGCTGGGAGAAACGAGAGTTTCTTCTTCATAATCCTTCTGGCGCCCAAACGAGGCTTCCAGGAGGTGGCCAGCGTGTCGATAGCAGCGGTGTTAGTGCTGATGAGAGTTCTGGTGGCATATCTTTCTCGAAGTTCCAAATGCTGAAATTTGTCTCCGATTTCATACTAGCATAGGTGAACGTGGATTCGTTTCTCTTAATTGGATCAAATGACGTTGTTTGTGTACAATTGAGGACAGGTATCCAGATTTCGTTAATGTTCATTGCCTCTTCCTTTCTACCGAAATTATTCCTGTGTTTCTGAGTTTATATTTCCTATTTGATAGTAATCTTGAGTTTTATCGAGTATTTGTGTATCTCCGAATGAGATAATGTGGGTGCCTTCTTTGAGAGCTGATTTATTGGTTTGTGGGGTTGTTGGTTTGTTGTTTGTACGTTTTTTCATCGTTTAACAGGGTATCTTATTGACAAAATGTGAAAAATATAAGAAACTGTAAACACTAATAATTAACTCTAAAATAAACTTTAAATATAAATAAAAATCATATATGGAGACATCAAAAATATAAAATGGAATCTAAATTGATGGGTTGGTTAAAAATTCAACTCATGATTTGTCACGGTACAATTCATCAATGCTTCACTTAATTGAAAGTAACAATTCACTGATTTCTCAAACAGTTGATAAGACCACAATTTTTTGCTCTCAAATATTATAGAATTGTTTGTCAAAGTTTATGTGGGTAATATAAGTCGTACGTCATTTATTTTTTGAGTGTTATGAAGTCTGTTAATAGGGTGGATTATAAGATATTTTCTCTGCAACAAACGAAAAGTTCCTAAAATGAATAAACTGAATACCGTGATTGATAAGCAAAGGCTTACAACAATCACGGAGTTCATCAGCTGTTCGTTGCAAAAACCCCAGACTTCCTGAACTGAGACTTGGCTGTCAAGCCTTCATCCATATTCATTTCAACCTGAAGATGTATTCGAAATTTCGAGTTTCAAGTCGAATTTTTGAGAAATGAAAATATTTGGCCCTCCTGTAGGTACTTTCGTAGTTCGACAAACATAGGCTGAAAAGTTCCGGACCTAAGGAAAAGACGCTTTTTTTTGTTCAAAATTGGCCATCCAGAGCAACACAATCACTCCAGCAGTGGCGCTCTGACATTTCAATGCCACTTTTGTTGGACGATTTATATTTTGCCTCAAAAAAGGCCTCTGTTTCAACAATAACCTCTTCATTCGAGCAAAATTTCTTACCGGTGAGCATTTTTTGAGGTCTGCGAACAGCCACTTGTCGCTGGAAGTCAAATCTGGTGAATACGATGGATGGGAGAGCAATTGAAAGTTCAATTCATGTAGTGTTGCCATTGTTTTCATTGATTCATGACACAGTAAAACAAGATATTTTTTCTTCGTCTATTGTGTTCGTTTCTTTGCAATTTCGGACTTCAAACGCTCCAATCACGCTATATATTATTCTCTGTTGATGATACTACCCTTCTCACATACACTCATCCCAAAATACCGAGTCCATAACTTTTCCAACCGATTGTTGTGCTTTCGGGCGCTTTGGACGGGATTCACCAGTTGCTCTCCACTCAGATCATTTTGATTTATTTCAGAGTGAAGTGATGGATCGATGTTTCATCCAAAGTCACATATCGATGCAAAAATTCCGGTTTGTTATGTTCAAACATGGCCAAACTCTGCTTAGAATCATCAAGACGTACTTGTTTTTGGTGAACATTGAGCTCGCGCGGCACCCATTTTGAACAGAGCCTTCTCATAGTCACATGCTCATGCAATATAAAGCCAACACGTTTTTTTGATATCTTTACAATGTCAGCTAACTCACGCAACTTCACGTTTTAATCATTCAAAACGATTTTGTGGATTTGTTTTTTAGTGTCACTGCCTCATTTGGACGTATATTGCGTTTTGCATCATCGGTGTTTCTACTGCCACGTTTAATTTTTTCCATCAAGAAGCAGTGTAAAACTAAAACACGAAATTGTTTTTGATCCATTGTTTTGAAAATAACGAAAGTAGTGTCATTCTCAGCACAATAACTCACAAACTTTTAATTAGAATATCATTGAATTTCAACAGCTTTTTTTTAAAGGTTACTACCAACTGAAAAAGCGGTGAATGCAATCAGAATAGCGCCATCTATTTGTTAGGCCAGACACTTTTCAGCCCATATAGTAAGTTGGCAATCTCGCACGCACAGTCGGAACAAGAATATGAGAAGAAGGAGCAAATTAAACTATGAAATATTATGGAGGGTAGATGTCTCTGTGTCTGAAAAAGTGTCCGTTAAAATCTCAGAGTAATGATTTAAATAGAGATGCCTTTCTGGCCTTTTTTTCAAAGCCAAATTACTTTGTTTATGTTTACGACAGTCTTCCAAAAACGACGGTATTTCGTCGTTTTTGGAAGTTATTTTGTTGATTTGAGTGCTTATTGATATAATTAATTTGTAGTGCAAAAAGTAATTTTGAAGATGGTGTAAACCTGCGTTGTTTGCGGATTTTTGCAATCCTTGCATGTTGATGTAACATTTCACAGATAAACAACAAATGGAGCATGGGCCTAACCCTGAATTTTCGATCGAATTAATAGTTTATAGTCATTAGAATTTTCTTAACATATTTTCCGCACACCCCTGGATCCAGTCCAGAGGATTATGTAAACAATTCCTTCAGTCCCCTTGTCCACATTTTACTGTGAAAGAGATGAATATCCTGGTTGTCTAGAAATCTGTTGTGTTTATATACGGGGGGCAACTCTACTTATTTTTTATTACTCTGAGGTTAAAATGTTCTAAATAAGGGTGGCGCTACAGTAGCAACAGGGTAAATTTAAAAAAGCCGCCGCTGAATGTTATTAGAATTCTTAACACAATAACTCACAAACTTATGATTGGAATATCATTTAATTTCAACAGCTTTCTTTTGAAGGTAAGTACTAACTGAAAAAGCGGTGAATGAAATTAAACCAGCACCATCTATGTGTTAGAGACTTTTCAGACCATGTAGTATATCATTTTCAATAATTCATAATGAAAAATCGGCGTTATATTTTATATCTATTACAGGAATTCATGATCCTCCCTACTGGTGCCACTTCTTTCTCAGAAGCGATGAAAATGGGTAGTGAAACCTACCATCACCTGAAAAAAGTCATCAAGGAAAAATATGGATTAGACGCCACGGCTGTGGGGGATGAAGGGGGTTTCGCTCCGAATATACAGAATAATAAAGATGCATTGAATCTCATTAAAGATGCCATTGCGAAAGCTGGATATACGGGCAGAATTGAGATCGGAATGGATGTTGCCGCTTCAGAGTTTTTTAAAGATGGTAAATATAGAGAAAATTTATTACAAAATGATAATAGCCATCTCCATTCAAAACAAGCACTTTTCCCAAATGACAGAACTGCAACACTCATCGATGCGTGTTTCACCAACCGAGAGATTGATTAGACCAATTTCTAACTCTCAACCTAACCTAACAGGGTACACTTTCACTCTCATTCTCAGATACAAATCAATCATTTCAAAAGAATTCTATGGACAAGACAGCTCAGTCCTGTCATTTTATGTTATGAACAATGGTGTGAGGGCCCAAATGCGAACAACAATAATATTGAAATCGAAATGAAGGCAAATACGCACGTTTATTCAAATATCCTATTTTTACAAAATAACTCTTTGAAAAACTTCAGTTCTTGAAAAAATACGTGCGTTTTATCCTGAGTTACAATAGATTTCAGAACAATACAAATGAAATAGCAAAAAAAGTTTTACATAGATTTTACGAGTGAGGAGTATATAAATAAATGTAAATATATAACTAGGTTATTACAAATAAAATACAACATTATAATGCAATTCAGAAGAACATGAAGTTTTCTTGGGAAAGTTTTTGGCTTTCTACTACTCCAGCTTGATACAAAAAAAATGTAGGAATCTTCCAAAGAAAGGAAGGGAGCAATCAATACCTTCGTATCTACATAGATGTGTAGATATGAAGTTTTCACAATCAACTCGGCGAATAAATTATAACAGAAAGATCCAAGTGAATGTATATAATATATAAAGAAACAAAAATAGGATTAGTGTATATACAATGATAGCATCAATCAGCTCATTAATATGCATTTTCATCATAAGACGAGCGCAAGCGTAGCTGTCATATTGAAATGGCGGTAATTCAAAATATTCGTACTGTTTTAATCAACAATGACTGGGCAAAGAACATTATCCCTACAAACAAATAAATTATTGGAAAAAACCATTGATGGTGCTTCACTTGTTAATAATTCAGTTGAGGCTCATAATTGTGAACAATTAAAAAGGTAGTTAACACGTCATGTGCGTCCGCAAAAAGGAAAAAAAGTGGGCTGAATGAGATGTTAGGTAGGTATCAGCCTTTTTTTACTATCTAAAAACATATGAAAAAAAAATATTTACAGTTTCATTCTTATTAATAATGTCAATTTATTTGATGTAATTGAGAATATATTTCAGTTGACAAGAGTATCACTTATGGAACTAATAAATAAATCAAGCCATTAATATTTTGAGGCTGTACATATGACATTATCAATTAGACAAATATGTAAATACTGAATTGAATATGTTTATTAATTTTTATCATTGGAAAATATTTAATACAACATAATATATTATGAAATTTACAGTCAAAAATGCAATGAGGAATAATGTATGTATGTTGAAATTCCTGATAGCGTAAAGGATCAGGGTTTTGTTCAGTTGGATCACCTTCTCCAATGAAATGTAGGTAGTGAGCAAATATAAGTTCCTTGGTAAGATCAATAGATTTAAAGCCTCTGTCACTCCTTACACATTTTTTCACCCATAATTTACATTTCGCACATTTTGCACAGGCATTAATATGTAATTTGCTTGATGATTTGATTATGTTTTTTGCCATATTTAAGACAATGCTTTGGAAAATTTATAAATTAGTATGTGTTGGTTTTGAATGATTTGTATCGTGAATCACTTTTACATACTCCATAACTACACCGTTTTGTTGTTCCTTTTCGTACAGATAACATAATTAAAATGAAGTATAAAAATTTGTTTCTGATTATTTTTACATACTACTTTATTTTTTTCTCACTTTTTTTACAATTAACAAATTTCAATTTATATTGAGTGACTTGAACATGTCCCATTTCTGTCAATTTCAACTTCGGTAGCTCTTTCGCTCGAGTTACAATCAGGTGAACTATCTTCCATTTCCACTGTAATTTGTTTCATATAATTTATAATACTTGGATATGATATGATATGAATGAAAATATCCAAAAATAATCTTCTTCCCTTTCATCATGTAATAGCCTCAGCTACTAAGAGTATAACGTATTAGCTGTCAGTTGTCAGAGCTTCCAGTGCTATTCACTCTCTCTTCTTCCATATTTTTTTCAATATTGATTATTTATAAAAAAAACGCTACTTTATGTTCAAATCCTCGTTACGATTGGCAACTCTACAAACATATTCCAACAAGTATAAATTTACAAACAGCCTCAAAAGTTATCAGTGGTCAATTTGTTCGTCAATTTGAAATAAACGATTTGTAATTCGAACGAAATTTATTGATTGTCAATCAGAGCCGTATTTGGAAGTCGGGAGGCCCTGGGCAACGAAATAGTGGTGGCCCTGGGAATCGAAAGAGTGGAGGCCCCCTGATTTTTTATAAAAGTTGAATTTTGAACTTCCCGCTAAGAATTGTTTTTATATGAGCGAGCAGGAATAGACGCGTTCAATAAACAATGTCGTTTAACAATTTCCATTCAAGTGATTTCGTCAAATAATTTTGAGCTCGAAGAAGCGAACCTGCAGGGTCAACCGTTTTTCAGATTTTTTTCACTCATTTTATTTATCTTCAATTCGCGGGTGCAAATTACACATTTAAAAAAGTATTGCCACTCAAATGCTCGATCAAATCAAAAATTGATAGTAGATGGTAACTTTATACATATAGTCAGTGGGCATATTTGAAGACTGGCCAGTCTCAACTCCCTACACTGTAGGTTAGGTTAGGTTAGGTTAGGTCTACAAGAGTGTTCCAATAATTGAACATCTTAACTTCAGTAAAAAATCCTGCACTGATACATGTCGGATATAATCCAACGCCCTTCGTGGTATTAGCCAGGGAAGTACTTGTTTTCTGATAGGTGTTAGTCCATTAACCTATAGTGTAGGGAGTTGAGACTGGCCTGAAGGAATTGTTCCTTTAGATGATTTAAATGGTAAATTGCAAATACTGCTTTCTTATATATCGATAGCAATATGTTTGTGCAAGTATTCTTAGTAAAAATGAGAAAAATGTTCGGAAAGAAAAACGTTAAAGAGTCTGACCCGTCAAAATTTGGATATTTTTTGTCTTCATTGTCGGGCCCCCCTCTTGTAGAAGCCCCGGGGCAGTAGCCCGCCTGCTTTCCCCTCAGTCCGGCCTTATTGTTGATTCCTGAAATATGTTGCTACATCAGAATGTCAACCGAGAAAAACAGTGCTTGGAAAAAGTTGTCATCTGCAAAGCTATGTAAAAAAACCACTTGATTTTGAATGAAATATGTTGTTAAGAGATATGTTGGATAATATTGGGGCTGACACTGTTTCTTAGGAAACTCCATAATTTAATAATAGAAGATGATATGTTATCTATCAAAGTTACTCATGAATGAGTCAACAATGAATAATTGTATGTATATAAATCAATCATGATCACGCTGAATTTCCTCTTTCAGGGCTGTATGATTTGGATTTCAAGAACCCTAAGTCTGACAAAAAAAATTGGATAAAATCCGACAAACTTACCCAAATGTACGAGGAGTTCATCAAAGAGTTTCCGATTGTCTCGATTGAAGATCCTTTCGACCAAGATGACTGGGACGCTTGGACTAACATGGCGGCGAAAACGAGCATCCAAATCGTTGGAGACGATCTGACTGTTACTAATCCAAAAAGAATACAAACAGCGATAGACAAAAAAGCGTGCAATTGTCTGCTTCTGAAAGTCAACCAAATTGGTAAAACATGTTCACAATTGAGGGTGTTTATTAAACATGCGGCAAAAAATCAAGGGACTATTCTGAGTATATTTTGTTCTCTGATGATTTTTGATAGGGCGATTCGTTTCAAAGATACGGAGCGAAATAGAATTTCGACAATTCAAATTCAAATTCTTTATTAGTGCTAGGATACAAGAGTGTTTGCATAAATCATTTCAAGTTGTACATAAAACAATTACAAAAATGATAGGTACAAAAGAGCTTGTAACAGGAGATAAAGTCGCACATTAAAAGTCTGACAGTCATTAAAATTAGGTCAAAATTTGTATAATTGGGTTGTTTTGTAATGTAAGAGTACCATTGAACAACTCATTGACATCATAAAAGGCATTTTTAATGGAAATTTCTCTTGATGATCAACACACTTTTGTATTCGTTCAAACCATTTGTCGAAGCATTCTCTTGAGACACCTCCAAAACATAGTTTTTCAACGCTTCAACTGCTTCTTCGACACTCGTATATCGTTGACCACGCAGTTTACCTTCGACATTCGGAAACAAGGAGTCATTGGGTGCCAAATCAGGACTGTACGGAGGATGAATCATCAAATCGATGTTTTAATAGCTCAAAAATTCAACTGTTTGACCTGTGTACCACTCAGAGTTGACTGTTCTACGTTGCTCAAGCGGAACGGTGGCCACATGACCCATTCCACCGAAGAAACAGGCGACCATTTGCTTCGTTGTACTTCTTCCACGAACAAATTTTGTAGAATTTGGAATATCCACTCGGTTGATTGCTGTTTTTTTTCCGGCTCATACGCATATATATATATCTATTATTCGTCCCCTATCACGATTTTATACGCGTCTTTTAAAACACCACGGTCGAACTTTTTAATCATTTCCTCACAACACTTGACATTCATCTTGTCATTCATTCTATAAAGCACTTACGATGTCATGTTCGTGTAGTTCTTTGAGGTGAACTCTTTGGGAGAAAAGACGTGTCATTCACCGATTATATAAATTTTCAAAATCCCAGATAGCTTGTAGTAATCAAGCAATTTAGTGTATTTGGTGGTAGCTCAGATTAATTGCTTGCTTCTATAATTTCAAACAATAACTCGAGACCCAAATCTGTTAACACTTCTTTTAGGCAATGAAAAGGTCATTCAGATTCATTTCTGTCTAATAATACTTTACCGTGCAAGAAAAAATACAGTCTAGTACTCGTGTTTCGCTAAGCAAGATATCATCATCAGACAATCATTTTAATTGATTAATATAATCCATTTTCCACGTTGTCGTGATTCAACAGTTTCAATTTTCAAAAATGTATTTGCATTCTGAAAATTTTCAGGTACAGTCTCAGAATCAATAAAAGCTCATCTCTTGGCGAAATCCAACGGTTGGGGCACCATGGTATCTCACCGGTCTGGTGAGACAGAGGACACCTTCATTGCCGATCTAGTGGTGGGACTTTCTACAGGGCAAATAAAGACTGGAGCACCCTGTAGATCCGAGCGATTGGCCAAGTATAACCAAATGCTGAGAATTAACGAAGAACTTTGTTCAAGTGCTAAGTATGCGGGTCAGGCTTTCAGAAAACCTCAGTGATTTTTCAATATGCATGGTATACATACGTTTTTGTAGCTCAATAAATATATCTATTTTTCCATATTCAAGTTACTGTTTATATTATCCACGAAATTTGCCTGTCAAATTTGAAGTCCAGAAAGTTATTTCCATATAGAAGTAACGATTTGTTAACTGTTAACAATGATATTGTCACGTTTTCCCCGTGGGTTTACCAATAATTGTACAATCCCAACTTCATTTCACTGTTAATACAACCAAATACTTGAAATGAAACTTCAACTAATATTCAAATGTCTAACGCCTTATTAGATCGCTCTGTATCGCACTGTACACTTGACTACTTGACTATATCGATAAGCATGTGGATAGTGTTTATATATGGCAATCGAAGGGTCTCGAAGGCGGTAAAGAATTCGCCGGAATTCCATCGAAATGACGCGAACATGGAACAACCGCGAAATGCCGGCTGGGCTGCCTGCGATCTTGGCACATCACAATTGATTCACGACGGCCAGCGGCGACCGGCGTTATTTTTTGGTAGGGGATGAATAGCAAAAATATGAAGGGCTTCTTCTTATTTATATGACGCACCTAAAAGATATGACTCGAGTTTTTTAAAGGATGTGAAAAAATTTCATAGTATCTAGGAGAAGCTCGGGCAAACTGGGTACCTTGAATTACAAAGACAATCAGCTTTGGTTGCATACAGTCACAATTTAGGAACTATCTTAACAATAGAACTCTATTCTGAAAATGATCTGTTTGGGATGGGACCTTTGTAGCTGCCCATAATGTCAAAGTATTTTTCTATCCGCATCCCTTTGACAAAAACCTAACCATAAACTGTTTCAAAATACCTGCTCAATAAGTACTTTAAAACATGCTTACCCTGTCGAATCAAAACTCGTATCTAGAAGTTTGAAGTAAAAATAAAAAATACAGCACGAACCCGATCGAAAAACCAAAGATAATATAATATTCTTCAGTTTTAGTACTGCTACATGTGTACTCAACTTATTTGGTTGATGTACCTGCAGAGAGAACATGCTTCGACATGAGTACGTCTTGTAGTTTGTGGCGCCGTCTGTTATATAAGTCCAAAAAACAGCATATCTGCTTTACTTGTGCAAAGATGCATGGAAACCCTGATGTCATTGTATAAAGATAGCTTTGTATATTGTATGGTTTACATACAAAGCTGGTGTTTAAACCGATTCGCTTGTATGGTTAGTCTATATACAATGGTTGTATTTTGTCAAAATCTCTAGAAATGAGACTGACCCAACTTTGTATACATGTTAATAGATGGCAGAAAAATCGTTTCCAAATGTAAACATCGGTTTGTGCTTAGCGCCTCTGTGAATGGAATGCGGAAATACGTTGGATCTCATTATTTTGTGAAGAATCAATAGAGCCGTAGATTGAGTGTTAGGTAGTAAGAGAAATAATATGAATTCTAAGTACAGATTTCAATGCCAGCGTTTGAATATCTCTCCAACGTCAGTAGCATTGCTTAGACAATGTCAGTAGCATTGTCTCAGTAGTTTTGTCTCAGTAGTTTTGTCAGCGCCCTCTTCATGAGAGTGTTAGAACTATATTCGTAATCGTAATGAAAATTTCCCTTTTGTATGCTTCCTTGAAATTACAGAAAAAGGAGAGAGACGAGTTAAAATTTTTAACAATAGATAACGCTAGATAGTGACTCATGGAATGTCATAACATAACCTCATAATCGGACGCATGCGTGCCATCTTGGTAAAATTTCAAACTTGTTTGGGTGTGAAAAAAAATGGTGTGGAATGTTGTATTTAAGTCAACGGTTATAGGAATATATTCTATAATATTAGCATTGAATGCGGATTTTACTAAGAATACTTTAAAGGCAACAACAGACTTAATATCATAATATTGTTATCGTTTATTTTTAGTTTATTTTTCTGGTGAGAGTGAGGTTACTTTTAGTTTAGGTAGTTTTTTTACGATTTTTTTATTGCAATATTCAACTACGTACTCTCTACTTTATAAGAAACAAAGAAAATGGCTTTAGCGATGGGTGATTTAGGTAAGTATCTGATGAGTGATACATCATATTCACTTCTACCTTCAATCATGTAGCCTGTCAGTATGCTCTCCCCAATATTTTTCATATTCCAATCAACTTACAAAGTTTCTCATGAATGAAACAGCTTGAATGAATATCCCCTGCAACTGTGTGACCAATTATTTTATTATTCCAGATTCAACAATGGAAATCGTAATGAAAAATATTTATTCTTCGTGTGACCTCCAGAATACAAACTTGGTACCTACTTCCAAGTTGATTGAGTTCATAATGCCATACATGCTGGAAGATCTGTAAGTACTCTATGAAACTACATACTACTCAATGATTTATTTACATTCGTTGATATGAGTTCACTGTTGGCACTGCTAGATTATATTACTATGATTATATTATGATATTTAGTCTTTGCATACTCAGTCTCTACAACATCTACTGTTCTTCAAATTTAAATGATGACAAAGAATCTTGTACATTAGATGATATTGGTTTCATTTAGAATGCCAAACTATATCAAAATCATCAGAATGATGATACATACATGATAATCATATAACCGATGGCAATAATTGATTCATTCTTTTCATATATTCTCAAGTATTTCAATTTTGAGTTCTAATGTAAAAATTGTTTTCCTACAATCACCATTCTTTTATTGTACATCTAACTCAGCCTAATATAAGAACGTGTCAGCAATGTATACAAAAATTATAGTCTATCGACTTGTTTGCAATGCAAACCTTTAGAGTTCAAAATCCCAAAACTGCCAGATTGGTTAGGTGTGCATTTATACTTGCTAGTTTTGTTATTGATGAACAACAGTCTCCTTAGATTATGATAGCAATAGTCATGTTTTATTTGAATAGTCAAAAATAGATTATACTCAAGTCTCTAGGTCTAAATAACTTTCTATGTTTTTTAACACTTTTATTTGTAACTAACGTTACTGCAGTTTCGTCCTATAAGGACGTTTTCAAACTTATACATTAAACTATATGTTACGTTAGTTACATATAAAAGTGGTAAAAAACATAGAAAGTTTTGATTCTCTTTTCTTCATTATGATTTCCTACCACGTAGTAACGGCTACATCCATCAATTTATCTCTAGGTCTAGGTTACAAATAGATCACTTAATATCTATGAAAGGGTCCCACTTGTAATCTAGCAAGTATGCATAGATGTAGTGATGTAGATAAAACATAATGTGATGTTGGTCTGACAACTCTGGAATTTTAGACTAATGAATATTCCAATACAGAGCAGTGCCTAATCAACCGAACAAGTTTTGAAAATTTTGTTGAAATGTGTCTTTGTATTAACCAGCTGTTCTCCCTTTAAGATCATCCTTAGAAGTCGAAAATTGTGGAGCTAAGGATTATCGTAGTTTTACCTTTTAATGTGTGATGCCTAGCACAGCAAAGATATGTGAAATCTACTCATACCTCTCAATATATTGATATCTGCCTGATATATTTCATTCATGTACTCCAACTATTCTGTTGTTTCATTTTTTTTTCATATTTATCTTTTTCACTCATTATCTTATTATATTATATCATATGCCTATATTAGCAGTAGTTATAGAGCCTCATTTGGTTAGAGAGATACATTTGGTTAGATTTTGTGAGTAAAAGGGTTGAATATACATACACCCTGCATAAGTAAATTCCCCCTGTTACCAATCTTATTTATTCGCAAATATTATGTAAATTATCTTATTGGGTCCTGAAAAATTATCACATATTTCAATATCTATGTATGATTGCATGATTGCTGATATATTAGGGAATTTTCAACGTGCATGTTTTTTTCAATATGCCTTATCATGAAACCAATACTGTTCTTTCTGGCAGCTTTTCAGTTAGGGATTCCTCCTTGTTATACTATAAAGAATTCATGTTGTTTGACTTGTTAAACATTGCCTGGGTAGACCCGCAACTAAGCATTCAAAGGTCATCACTCTGTGTTATGTAAAAGATGAGGAAACTGCTTAAACATCTTATAGATTAAAATTGTAAATGAGATAAGCCAAATTTTTTCTTGTCATGGTTAGAATAGTTAAAGGATATAGCTCTGTGTTGACTCATGACTTTTATGACATACATAATTTCTTCTTGTTTCATTATTTACATTATTTGTGTGCTTTTGGTATATAGAGGAGGGGATAAATTTAAATGTAAACAAGATTGTTCAAAAGGTTATGTTCATGGTTGAATATTTCTGAAATGAGCCTATTCTTAGTTTAAATCATTAAAGGAATGTAAATTAACAAGTGAAACTGTCATATTTATTTTTGTAATATTTATTGAGAAGTGTATTATTTAACACAGTGATTTACTTCATTTTGAAGTTCAAAACATTAAGAGGGTTTTGGAAATTAGTATTAGTCTAAACAGGAAGACATTCGTTTATTTTGAAAGATAAAAAAATTATACCAAATGTACGAAGTGAAGATTATCATTGAAATATAATTATGAACAAATTTTATGTTGCATTTTTTTGTGAAAATATATGGATATGTTGATGAAGAAATTTCTGAAGAAAATTGGCATATCTGTTTTTTATAAATGCTGATTTTGGATACATTGAATCATAGACTACAAATAGAGGAAAACTCACAACTTTTTCGAAACAGAATTCAAGCTATAAAAGGTTATTTGTGTGTTTATTGCAGTTTATTGTATTATTTTTCACTACAAAGGCTTTAACAAAAACCGCGACACGTTTCGCTATGCAATAGCTTTCTCAAGCGTTAATAACGCTTGAGTTGTTGGACTACAGTAGGGATGAACTACGTCCAACAGGCCTTTTCACAGGTCACTGTCATTTGAATCATCATATGCTAAGACTCTGACGGATGGTATGTTGAATGCAACATAGCATGCTGTCCACTTGAAATATTTGTGGTATTCTGTAATAAATAAATATTGATAACTCTAAGGGTGAGCTTGGTCATCCAGAGAACTGATCATGGCATCATGTATATCAAATTTTTCTTCGAATGAATTCAAGGTTGGTATCATTTAAAAAAGAAAAGACGTGGCTACTGCTCCGAACAACCTAACTTACAACCTAACCTAACAGTGAATGACAATAACAAAGTACAAACATTTTCTCAAAACCTAAGGAATTGCCTATGTAAAGCCTATCTCTGTTTGATGTACGAAGTGCAAGCTAGCATCCAAACAAGAGCTCTATCTAATCAATAGCAGATGTTGACTGTTTTGTCTTCTGTTTTCACTTGTAAAATAAAAGGATGCTATAAAAAGTGTTTTATCGTATATTTCTTCAAGAGGCATGTTTATTCTTTTGTAATAGTGTTTGCTTCATTGGATATATTTCATTGATAGAATTAGAGACTTCGACAGATAGTTTTTGGGTTCAGTAGTATCAACATCTGTATGAATTGGTGTCCCAATGGAAATTTTCGGAAGTAAATATTTCAAGTTTTGTTTTGAGGCAATGATTTGTTCAATTGATAATTGTGTTAGCAGTAAACTGGTTAATTTTCAACCTTAAACTCAATGTACAATAATACCATTTCTGTACAAAAAGAAAATGTATGATATCATACCAATATATCCAGAGGTTCGTTCACTTTTCCAAATCAAATACTGAATGAGGAGGTTTTTTTGTTTTCAGTTCAGCATTAGAAAGTTTGAAATCTTCATTGGACCCCAAAAACGAAGATATGTCCGTTACCAGTGAAAAATTCTACGAAGTTATGAATGAATGGGCACAAAAAATCACAGGCTCAAATGAAGAAGATGAAGATTTCATACGTACTCCTAGGTACGTGGAACATACCGTTAACTTTTTGACTTTCTACTTCTCCATCTTTATACAAAAAATGTAGAGAATTTCGGAGGAAGGGAAACATCAATTAAATTCATAATTAACTTTTCACAAAGATGTGTAAATCATGCTTGAAAGTTACTTTCAGATACAAAAGCCTACACATCTTTCTAAGGAATTTATTTCGAACTTGATTGCAATAGTTACACTACTCACACTATTTCAATAGGAAATTACACTATTGCTATAGGAAATTGCAATAGTGTAAGACAGTGTATCAAAAATTTGCCTATAAATATCGTTTTTTGATGTGTTCCTCCCAAAACTGTTGATGGTAAATAAAATAATGTACTACATTCTTGTAGTAATTTTATTTTCAATATTTCAGTCAATTAGATATAGATGAAAAGCGTCTGCCATACACACAGTCTACGCCTAGAGCAAGTTTCGGGCAAAGACTGCTCAGATGTGAAGGTCTTCTAAACTTATCAAATGAGTCAATTTATAATATATCCGCTAGTGTTGATACCAAAGATAATAGTACAGGTCAGTATAAGTGTATAAGTCTTTCATCGCCTATCCTTATCAGCTAAAACTTTTGTTTATTCAGTTGGGGTAGAGAAAACGATTCTGGAAGAGCAAGTCAAGAGATTAGAACACCAACTCAATAAGGTTACGGGTGAACTGGATATGGTTAAAATACAGTTAACTGTGACCGAGGAACAGAATGACCAGCTTCACTCGGATTTGGAAAGATGTCGTACAAGATTGTCAAGGTTAGTGAATAATTTCATATTTTTTGGAAAGATAAGTTTTTCGCTTCACTTTAAGATTTAAGATAGGTATTAAAAGACATTGTAGAATAGTTCGATATATAAGTTTTGAAGTTGCCAATGAGGAATTTCTCTGTAGTATACTCAGTTTTTTAAGCAGTTTCAAGTAATATTGTGTGGCAAATATTACAATTTGTCCTCTTTTATTTTATGAGACAAATTGTCATTCACAATAAAATTCTATTTTGTTGTTAAATTTGAAAAAAAAATCAGCCTAAAATACCCATGACTGAAAACAGATTTTTTTTTAAATTACTGTCAAGTTTTTCTGGTTGAAATATTTTTTTCTGTGACGGGAAAAAAGTTTGACATTTTATCTCTAATGACAGGTAACAAAATGTCACTTTTTATGAAATTACTTCTTACCGTCGACTCACGGTCGATGGTAGGTTAGACGTTTCTGGAAAACGCAAAGCATGATTTTTCAGAAAATTTCACCTCTCACATTTCCTTACCTGTTCTATCGACCTAAAATATTTTCAGCATTGCGGCGTTGCCACTTCTATCAAAAAGTCCTAGCAATTATATTTTTTTAAATGGAACACCCCGTATATTTCTTTTTCAATTTCCTGGGGATCCAGATCTTCAACTCTCCGCACTATTCGCCGTCGCAATTCTTCTTTGGTAGGCACTGGAGTATACCCTTTCTTTTAAAACACCCCATAAAAAAAGTCAAGTGGCGTGAGATCGGGTGATCTTGGTGGCCAATCCCACGGTTTTAAACGCCTAAACCAACGATCGTCGAAGAGTTCATCAAGTTTCCTGGAAACTTCCTGGGTGGAATTTTCTACAAGTTCTGGCAATGATTTGATCACACTGTCCGTGTATAATAAATAATTTCATAAGAACTTCGTTTGAATAATCAATATTTGCATTCATTTTTGGCGATTTTTTGAAACACCGTCAATAACCATTTATCAATTACTTATAAAAGTCACCAAACTGTCATAAGCTTGATATTTCCACGGCTACCTAGAAATCAAATTCTTTAAAAATTATTTTTTGTACAACTGTTATTGAAAATCTCTTTGATAGAAACACTTCAATCAGAACACCTACCAAAAAATCATTTAGAAAAGTTCACACATGCAGTTCGTGCTATTGGAAATATTAAATCCATGTGAAGTTACTGACGATGACGAAGTAGTATTCAGTCCAACTGTAGAAAGTCCTTCATGACTAACCAATAATCTTCCTTAAAATAACGTGAGTTGGCGTATGTAGTTGTAACATATGCCTTGTAATCCAAAGATCGTGTGTTCATTATCAGCAGTAATGTTATACAAAAAAATTTGTATGATACATTTGTTAAAAGTGATTTTATTTTGCTCGTGAGTTTGCTCCACTTGCTGACGCTCGTTTTGCAATAATCCCCACTCACAAAATAAAATGTCACTCTCAACACTTGTAGGTAAAACGTGAATAACTATTTTTCCACAAAAACGGCTTTATTAGGAAAACTTGACAATTTAGGTATAGGGACATGTATATCATCTTGAAGCATTTTTCACCATCTTTCAATTTATCAGGGGGTTTCATTTGAAAAAATGAACTTTTGACTAGTTTTATGCACAATGAATTTAATAGTAATTTTAGCACGCCCTGTATGATATGGAATCGATTTCTTGGTGTTATTTGAATATTTCGAGTTCGTCCAAACTATCATCAAAATATCAACTTTTCATGAATTGAGAGTACTGATGTACTTAATTTCAATTGAGGCTATGTTTTGGACCATATTTAGCACAATTTATTTTTTATCTCGAAAACATAGAGATAGGTATAGGACAAAAAAGTATTAAAATACCAGAGCGATTCCAATAATGTATACGGGGTGTTCCATTAAAAAAATAAAGTTGCTAGGACTTTTTGATGGAAGTGGCAACGCCACAATGCTGAAAATATTTTAGATCGATAGAACAGGTAAGGAAATGTGAGAAGTGAAATTTTCAGAAAAATCATGCTTTGCGTTTTCCAGAAACGTCTAACCTACCATCGACCGTGAGTCACGCTGTATAAGTAAAGGTAGAAATTTAATTTTAGAATATTTTCTTATACAAAAGTTACATTTCCTTTATATCAAAAGTACAATTATCAAATGTGCATTGCATGAATAAATGTTCCTTGAACTATTTGGTACAACAGTCGAATTTTCTTGTGTTGAAATTATATTTTTTTCTGCCATGGACACAACTGCCGTTGATGTACCTGGTCGCAAATCGGGTGTGGGTGTTATTTCAGCACTGCCAAACGTTCTGAACACTTTATTAGCTATTTCTGTCCTGTGTGTTACCGATTTATCAACATACCCGTCAGCGACCGTTGACGACTTCCAACCGCCATGTTTCTTTAGTGTCGTCAAGTCTTCCCCAGATTCAACTAAAAGTGTAGCAGACGATCTTCGAAATAAATGACCTGTATATGAATTGGCATTTTCGAATTGAAGAAAATTAGCCACTGCTTCAGGTACCGTATAAAACTGATTGCTACCCATAGCCTGATTGATACATTTTCCATTGCGATATGCATTTAACAGGCGGCGATCCTTTGCTGCTGCTGGACGAAGGGCTATGTATATTCGGTAAAATTTAAGATATTCTTCAGTAACTACAAATGTCTTGTTTACATTATTCTTTGTTTGATTGAGTTTCACAATTAATAAAGTTTCCAAATCTTCAATATCATCTAATGTTAACTGGCTAATTTCACAAATTGGACAAGCTCCTGCAATCCCAAATACAACAACAACCTTGACCATTAAATAAACTTTATCGGGAGCATTATTTAAAAAGTCACTAATATGTGTACTCTTAAATATTGCAGCTTTCTTGGGCGTGTAACCTTTCCCATTTTGTTTCAGAACTGTAATTAGTTTGAAATATTTTGAAATGTCTATATTATTATTGGATTGTATATAACATATTTTTTATCATTGAATAATTTGACCACACTGTTGATGGCTTTTGTTGTTGTGCCAATTCCGAAAAATAAGCTAATAACACCGTCTCCGAGAAAGAACTGCATGTCTTTTTCGTCTTCCATTCCATGATTCTTGAATACGCGCTTTCATAAATTTTCCGCGATTTAGCTAGCAATAATTTTTGTGACGCTACTTTCACTAACTCCGGTGGAGTCAGAGAAAACTCGGAATTAGACATTTTTCAAAATAACTACTGACCACTAAGTTCGCAATTTTTAAATCAAATTACAGAATTAAATTGACTGATATTTGATTTTCTATTGATTGGTTTCCTAGCAACGCTCTAAGTACAACAACCTAGCTGTTCAAAAATTCACAATAATTTTCAGTTTTTCTTGTATACTCTTTTAATATGGATGGTATGTAATTGAACCTCTTGGAATTAGCCAAGATGATGGAAAACGTCCTGATGGAATGTCTCTCATTCCTTGGAGACATGGAAAACCTTTGGTTTGGGACTTCACCTGTGTTGATACCTTGGCTCGCTCTCCTGTCTATTCAACTTCGCAAACATCTGGTGGAGCCGCTGAATATGCTGAGAAAATGAAACAGCGGAAATACATTTGTCTAGAAGATCGATATATTTTCTATCCAATTGCCATTGAAACATTTGGTAGCTTTGGTTCCTTTACTTTGCAGTAACAGGCGATTCTAGAGCAAGATCATTTCTTATACAACGAATCAGCATTGCAATTCAGAGAGGAAATGCTGCATCAATCCTTGGCACCATGTCTCCTTCTCAAAGTCTTGATGAAATTTTCTTTAGCATACTAAACTGGTCTGATACTACGGATTTCTCCCCAGCTTCTTCTGTTAAAAATTATCCAAACGTTAATGAGAGTGAATCAGACTTCAGTTCTAAAAAAAATTGTAGAAGAAGACTTAACAGGCAAACTCAACACTAGCAGTTTCAACATCATAAAAGGACAAATGCAGAAGATAAAAAATGTTCAAAACTAGGAAAATTTTGCAGTGATTCAACAAACAGCCGGATCTCCACTTTTTGCCAAGTACCCGCACACTATGATCTTCCCTACGATGAACCACCATCATTCGCCTATGTTTGAACCCGTCAACAATTTTGACGAAATCGCTACTGACCAGGATGCCGAAAACGTGTTCAACGACAATCTTTCCTGATGCCCCTTCAAACTCTCCAGAAGGTCCCACCATTTTGTAGATACAGACTGTTATAAGATGGGCATGTTTCTATCTACATATATGATCGACGGTAGGGCAGTGAAGTTGCAGCCAAGGTCTGTTCAATCAAAATAATCACTGTTATGTCAACTTTATTTTGCAAGCCCTGATCGCATGTCCACCACTCTACAACTTACTAAACTCTAAGTAAAAACATCTCTTCGAACTTGAGAATGACGTCTACCCCGGTTATATTTGGAATGTGCCGTTTTGTGGAACAGTTTGTTCACCTACCTTCCTACTTTTTGACGAAAGGCGGAAGAATAGATAAAAATTCCAAGAATGACCAAAACGTTTCAGTCAACACAGGCATCCCATTCGGTCCGACGTGGATTTATAAAATGTTACATGACATGCGGACTGACTGGATCGATGGTAGACAACAAGATGCAGAAGAGTTTGTAGGTTTTCTTTTGAATGGACTCAATGATGAAATGTTTGAGCTAAATGAGTTGGTTGAATAATATATTAAAGATGAAAAACCTCTCGTTGACCCTGCTTTGAGCAATGATTCAAATAATGTATGGAACATAATAGAATCGAAAAATAAAGGACATCCAACCAGAAAGACCGACTTCACCAATACACCGATAAGTGACATCTGCAACTAAGCAACTAAAGTCGAGCATTCATCGCAACGTGGACCACATTACCGAGAATACCCAGCCTTTACTCACCCTGCCACTCAACATTGAGAAAGTGAAGACCGTCAGAGAAGCGCTTAAGGTACTTGTCTTCAAGAACATTTTAGAGGGAGTGACTTCGTCGAAAACAAACGAGAAGGTCGAAGCTTGGGAGCAAATTACGCTCTGCAAACTTTCCGTTATCCTTATTTTGCATCTGAAGTTTTTCAAATACAGCAACGACCGTTGCACGAAGATCATCAAGGCTTTTGATTTTGAATTCGACTTGAAGTTTGATTCGACTTTGATATCGTCGGAAACACAGTCTCCAATAGAGAGACAATACAAGCTATTCGCCGTCGTTTACCACGAAGGCAAAAATGCCAACATTGGACACTACGTGACCGATGTCTTCCACGTCGGCTACAATTGTTGGATTAGGTACGACGATTCTTTGGTCAAGACCGTGCAAAAAGAAGACGTATTGAAACCCCAGAGCGAGTTCCTTATTTGCTGTTCTACAGGAAAAGCGATATGATCCTATCTAAATAAGGTTGCTACTTTCACGTAGAGTTCAGCATCTGGAATTTTACGGAATTTCTCTTTTTAGTTTTTATTGAATTTGATATTTTTTTTGGTTTCAATGAATTATTTTATTCTTTCATTAGTGATAGGTATTGTTCAATTTTTAATGATATATGTATTTCATTTATTTAAACGAAGAATTCAGTGATCAACAGAAAAAAAAAATTCATATCGATAATTTTCTGACTTTAACATATTGTAATAATATGTTTTTTTTTCAATATTAAATCGTTGTTTTTCCCGTCACAGAAAAAAATTGTGTATTATACTCGGGAAAAATATTACATTTTGTCTCCCGACGCGAAGCGAGCTAAAATCTAATACTTTTTCCCTTGTATAATAAATAACTAATTTCAGATCATGTAAAAGAAAAAACAATACTATGGAAACATTTAATATTAATGTAAAAATAATTATTTGAAATTTTCATTCTGTCCTCTTTTATTTCATGAGACAAACTGTCATTCTATTTTATTGTTAAATTTGAAAAAATAACTCATTCTCAGCCTAAAATACCCATGAGTGAAAAAATATTTTTTTTAAATTACTGTGAAATTTTTTTGGTTGAAAGATTGTATTTAAAATCATGTGAAATATAAAACAAAACTATGGAAACATTTAATATTAATGTCAAATTGATTATTTGAAATTTTTTATGTTTACAAAAATTTCCAGTTGAAATTATTGAAAAATATAAAATGAATATAAACAGAATGCTTTCTATGGCTAAGATTTTAAAGAAGAAATGTTAATATTTCCCCAAAATTGTAAGTATTTTCTCTATTCTACATTTTTTTCTTCTATATGTTCCCGAAAGGAATGGAAACTAATAAAGATAGATTTTGACTTATCTATGATTGAATGATAATTCTTGACTAGATAAAAAAATTAAAGTGAAAAAACGAAGACAAGAAATATAATTTTAAATTAGTAATGTAAGATAATTAAAAGTACAATATGGTATAAAGGGTTATTATTTTAAGTAAGTTGGCGCATATATTTGTAAAGTAAAATGCTACTGCTGATTTATCAGAAAATTACACATTTTTTCTTGTAATCAACTTGGCAAAGTCTTGAAACACCCTGTATGAGTGAACGCTGTGGATTGCCGATTTTGGATCAGTTATGGCAAGAAACATTTGTAACTTTCAAACGATTTTTCACATTAAAGAATTTCAAGACTTGAGTAGCTAAAAGTCACACTTTCACTTGTAATTCCTGTGTTTCTTCGAAAGTAATTAACTTCCATATATGCTATCTTTATCAAAGAATGTTTGCATTCTCTTATGGTCATCATAATGAATGTGAATAATGTTGGTCGAGTCCTTGAATGGTAATAATGGGTTTTCGTGGTACTAGAAGCGTGACTGTCGTCCAGCCTTCTGTCCCATGTATTATGAATGAAAGATTATGGTGTCGCGTTGGAAAGAGACAGGCGATTGGACATTTTTGAAAAGAAAACGTGAACTGTTGCTAATATCAATAAGAATGAATGATTTGAGAAACACTTTTGTTCAATTCAATATTGAAAGATATTTTCATTTTCATTCTTCTCAATTTTTTATGTATGTTTGTTTATTCAAATGTATTTAAATTTATAAAGAGGTGATTAAATTTATTGGGAAACGTGACAAACAAAAATTATTAGCATGACGATTATAACATTATTATTCTACTGGCGACTCTTTACATTGAAGGATGTTTATTTGGAAGCTCCAACAAGTGGAAGCACCACGTTTTATTTGTAGAAACATGATCTTTATCATTTGTTAGAGGGACGCCTTCCCAAAATAGCTTCTACAGGGTGGCTATTCAAGTCTTCAATTACACGGTGGTAATTTCTAAGAATATTGCAAGCTTAGAGAGAGTATTCAGAGCAGTAGAGATTATATTATATCCAATACAGCTCAAGTTTCAAAAATTATAGTTCTTATAAGTGGCTCGTTATCAATAGATTTCCGAAAGTTACTACAAATTGTGGAACAGAATTCACATTTTTTTTTTCTTTAAAGGCAGAAAGCAATATACATATTTTCAGGCAAAATGAGTTCATTGAAAACTATAATGTTCACAAAAAATCAATTCATTTGAAAACTACGAAGTGGGGTTCCACAAAATTCTGTTTTCCCGCAGATATATAAAAAATAATCACTAATATATATTTTATTGGTCCATTTGGTATTGAATATAATCCCCAGTAGGTATTGCAAAATCTAATATATTTCTGATTAGGATCCCATGAGTTACTCTTAAATTTTGATGAATCCTCCTGTACATTTATATCAAAATAAACTCCTCTTTCTGAACTTCTTCACACAGTTTCGATTAACTATTTTATAATATTAAAAACTTGATAAAATTAAATCATCTATTGACTTCGGTCGATAGCCAGTTGAGCAAAATTGTAATTTTGTTCAATAAATTACAATTATTATTATTATTATCAAATCATCTAAAGGAACAATTCGTTCAGGCCATTCTCAACCCCCTACACTGTAATGGACTGACACCCATCAGAAAACAACTACTCCCCTGGCTAATATCACTAAGGGCGTTGGATTATATCCGACAGGTGACGACTATATGTGAAAAGTTTTTCCCTTATACGAGGAATAGGGCAAATTTCGGATATGCGGTTGGTTACCTCGTTCACAGGCAGATGGGGCGATGACAAACCTGTTGTTTGTTGTCCGCTCCAGCCTAGTTCGAGGAATGATACTCTGAAGGAATTCGATTTTCAATTATCGGAAATCATCGACTTCATCTTGATGATAGACACTACCTTGCACTGACGAGAGGCCAAACAGCCCGAAACTGGTCTGCAAGTGTGTTCCAATAATTGAAAATCCATTACTGCAGTTGTATCGCCAACGCCCTTCGTAGTATTGGCCAGGATAGTAGTTGTTTTCTGATAGGTGTCAGTCCATTACCCTACAGTGTAGGATGTTGAGACTGGCCTGAACGATTCGTTTCCTTAGATGAAGTATGATAGAAGTATGCCCACTGACTATATGTGAAAACTTGATGAATTTATCAAAACCGAATCTCAACGATTCGGTTTTCATCTCCTCAATCGTCGCAAAATGCCATCCTTTCATAGGTCTATGCAATCTTGAGAACAGGAAAAAGTCGCAGGGGACAAAATCTGGTTAATATGGTGGCTAAGATATGATTAAGGTGTGAACATATGTTCGAGATGGGTATACCCGCGAAATTTGAACATTCATGTCATTTTTCAACAGACCTCGTGAATCAAATTAATTTCGGATAGCTTCATCATTAATGCTAATGTTCCTCAGGGATCAAGCCAAGTTGATTTCCTTTTTTTGTTTTTTCAGTGAACAACAGGTCAATGATCACCTACAAAAAAACAAAAGTTGCATAGATGAACTTAAAGAAGAAATAAGATTTGGAAAGAAACGAATAGAGGAACTCAACAAAAAGCTCAGTCAGTACGAGAAAGACAATTTTCATATGAATAACTACATCCAGCAACTAGAAAAGGAGGTTTGTTCAAACTTTTTCTTTTCACCATTAGTGATTTTATATAATTTAACGGTACACAGAATAAAAAAAGGATGGGTGCATGAATAGCTAACCCTATGTTGAAAATATATATCTTTATCAACTTCCTTAACATTTTCAATGAGAAAATTGTGAAAGCAAATATACTATGTGATTTTCTTTCAAAATGTAAATAATACTCAATGTTTCTTAAAGAATTTTCTTTAATATTTGTTAATTATTTTGTCTTTCTAAGGAAGATGTAACTTATCCTTTTTTTAATAAAACCTTTGAGTTTGAGGTTTAATAAAAATTCCGTGTCTGTAATGGGTGACTTCTATTTACTATGGAATTCTTTGTTCATATCAAAATTTTTGTACACACTTCATAATATTCACATATTTGCGTTTCTGTAAAGAACACCGAATTAGAAGAAAAGTTGGAACATTTTACGAGAAGAGAACAGGAGTGGAAAAAAGAAATGTTCGATATGAAGACAGAACTGGACATTAAAGAACATGAGATTATAAGTATTACAAAAATCAACGATGAATTGAAGTTGAAATTGTCAGAGAAAAAGAGTCAAGTCGACCAACTCACAAACGAAAACGAGGTAAGTTTTGTTTTAGATGTGGTGTGTCTGAATGATGAATATTTGGTTTTTGAATCTTACAAGGTGGCTCAAACACACACACGTATATACGTGAGTAGTGCAATACACTTTCATTGAATCAAGTTTCAAAAATACTTAGTAAAATGTTAGGAAACACAATTTTGCATTTATATCATAAGGCAATAATATTTCTTGAATGAATGATTGTTTTCTACACCAAATTACAATTCCTCTAAGCTATCAATATCAGCCCACTAGAATTTTACTATTCAGATAAATAACAATACAATTCGTGTCTATCTAGTTCAGCATGTTATTAATAACAAGAAGTAAAAAGATCGGAGGTTATTGTTATCAATTATTTCAAAATTATTTTCAAAATTTAAATCAATATACAGTGATGAATAAATAATTGTAGAAGTTTAGAAACAGTTTCAACTTTTGATATCCCACAAGGATCGGTTTTGGTATATATTTTGTATTTATTCCATGTTGATAATATTAAAAATAAAGGTTTGATGGGTGATCACATCTCATTTGTAGATACTCTTGGACTGTTTTATTAAGAAAAAATGAGAATTCATTAAAAATAAATATGAATAACAAAATAAAAAAAATTGAGAGCTGGTTGAATGACAATCAACTTAGAAAGGACAGTTTTCATGATTCTCAAGCAGCAAATGAATCGACTGAGCTGAAAAACGAAGATTTAGGTAGAACAATTGATAAAGGAAGGAATCTATTGTACCACTAATGGGAGCAATCAGAAGGATAATTGTTTTAGATACTCGTATACAAATTCTAAAGCTCATATTCTCTCGAATCAGATATTCAGTTACAATTTGGTTATTTTGCACTTAAAAGCAATACATATCTATCACCAAAGAAAAGAATAATCTGATTTCAAATTGTTTAGAAGTTTTTGATAAATTAACTGAAAAACTTGAAAAATCTAATCTGTTATTTTCCAAAAACATCAAAGAAAAATTTTTAGTTCAATATGGCTTTCAAGCCTCTAAGAGCACAAATGATGCAATTTTTGCTTTTTTAGAACTTTACCTGCGACTGAATGTTGGTGAGGCTGCAGTTGCAGTATTTTTTGATCTAACAAAAGCAATCTACGGATTTAGAGGAAACATCTTGTTGTGGTTTGAGTCATATCTATCAAATCGTGTTCAAGTAGTGAATTTCAAAAGTTCATCATCAGATAAAATGAGCATTAAATGTGGAGTACCTCAGGGATCTGTCCTTGGGCCTTTGGTGTTTTTATTGTATATAAATGATCTGGCATATATATCGATTGAAGGCAAATTCACAAGTTTTGCTGATGAAACGTCTATACTTTGGCATGGTAGAAGCACTGATGCACTAAAAATTAGGGCAGAGCATGATATAGGCAAAGTTAAACAATGGTGTGATGCCAATTTATTATCTTTCAATATACCAAAGACTAATATAATGTCCTTTGAATGTAACCTGGACCATATAATTCTTGAAGAACACATCATTGATCATAAACTAGAGAACAAATTTTTAGGCCTCAACATAGACAACAAATTAAAATTTGGAACGCATATTAGTATACTATGCAAAAAATTATCTTCGAATTGTTATGCGATAAGGTCTATCTCTAACTCTTTGGACTATCACTCTGCTAGAAAAGCATACTTTGCACTTTTCGAGTCCCACTTGCGGTATGGAATTTGTTTCTGGGGGAGCAGCTGTCAAAACTTATTGAGTCAAGTTTTCACAATACAAAAAAGAGCACTGAGATTCATTACCGGAACTAGAGTGCAAGATTCCTGTAAGCCTCTTTTATAGCACATCACATCTTAACAGTCTACTGCCTCTTTATTTTAGAAACAGTCTGCCTAATGCACAAAAAGCACAAAGATAACATCTCGAACTCAACTCAGAATTATGCTTTCACCATAAACTTTTTGAAGTGTGCTTGAGCCATATTAATATCTTGTTCTAAATTCTTGACCTTTATGTTAATGTTTCAGATTGTTTTAGTTCTCAAGCCTGCTTTGTCAACAAAACCTAAACTTTTATGACAATAAAGCATTTCTAACTCTATTTTCAGCTTCTGGATTACAAGAAACAAGGCCTAGAAAAAGTACTGTCTTCCAGGCGTTTTTCCTGTTCCTCGCAGTACAAAACATGTCTAGAAGAAATCGGCAATCTTTCCAACAGAGGTACCGTCCCTATTTACTCACCCCCCTTCAACGAATCTGATTTAAACTTCTCATATAACAGCCCTTTCCTGAAACTGTCCCCCCTTTCCCCCATGTTAGGTAGTCCTATCTATCCCATCAATAAAAACAGGTTACTACGAAAAGCGTTGAAATGTAGTTCCCCAATGCCTAAGGCTAAAGATAAATCTGTGTGTTCGTTAGGTACAAAGAAATCTGTTTCTTTGAATAATCTGAATTTATCGACTCAGTCGTTGCCGAACATTTACTCTTCTGAGCGGTCTAATGTTGTTCAAGATCAGAGTTACGAAGAAGAGTTTTCATTCGAGTCGCAGCTGCTGGATATCAGGAATGGTCCTCAGACATCTCTGCAGGCGGAACTCTTTCAGGTAAGTAGTTGTGTTTGTTTTTGGCATCTCAACTAATCATATGGTCAGTATGAAAATGAAGATTACGTCCCTTGCTAATATTAATGAATAATAATAAACATATTTTATTGTGCAGTTACTCTTTTTGAGTTACTCTTCTTTGGCAAAGCAAGATTAGCGAAAAAAAAACATCAAATGTATGACATTGTAAATATCCACGATAATGATTATACAATTTTCACAATATAAATTCAATTCCAGATGCGTTTTGCTAAACAGTAGCTTCTTCAATAGAACTAGTACATCGAACTATTCTACAATGTCTTTTATATAACAGTAGGTAATTACAAAGCTTAATTAGATAAATGAATAATTCTGGTAAAACAATTACAACTCAATATTACTTCTAGGTAAACAGGTAATTTATAAATATGTTAATTATAGGTAAGTTGATTATATGAATGATTAATTCTGCTGAAACAGGTAAAAAAAATTGTCCTAATATAAGAGTACTTCTATAAAAACGGGTAATTTGTGAATATAATAATTGTTGGCATTTTATGCCAGACTCAATTAAATAAATGATTTATTCTGGCTAAACAGGTAATTTATGAATATATTAATTATTGGCATTACAATACAATATAACTTCTAAGATAACAGGTAATTTATAAATATGTTAATTATTCCTTACTCAATTACATTCTGCCAAAACAGGTAGATTTTGAAAAATCATTTACAATGCAATATTACTTCTAGGAAAACAGGTAATTTATGAATATATTAATTATTGGCATTTCATGCCAGACTCAATTAGATAGATAATTAAATCTGGCAAAACAGGTTGATTTAAAGAAAACAATTACAATACAATATAACTTCTAAAATAACAGGTAATTTATAAATATGTTAATTATATATACCTCAATTACATGAATGATTAATTCTATCAAAACAGGTAGATTTTGAAAAAACAATTACAATTCAATATCACTTCAGGAAAACAGGTAATTTATAAATATGTTAATTATATATACCTCAATTACATGAATGATTAATTCTATCAAAACAGGTAGATTTTGAAAAAACAATTACAATTCAATATCACTTCAGGAAAACAGGTAATTTATAAATATGTTAACTATTCATTACTTAATTATATCAATGATCAATTCTGACAAAACAAGCAGATTTTGAAAAACCAATGGCAATGCAATATTACTTCTAGGAAAACAGGTAATTTATGAATATAATAATTATTGGCATTTTATGTCAGACTCAATAAGATAAATAATTAATTTAGGCAAAACAGGCAGATTTTGAACAAACAATTACAATGCAAAATCACTTCTAGGAAGACAGGTAATTTATAAATATGTAAATTATCCTAAACTTAATTACATGAATGATCAATTCTGCCAAAATAGGTAACTTTCGAAAAAAATTAATAGGGTTGAGTGGAAAAACAGTTCAATTGTTGAATTTATTCAGGAACTGATCTGAACTTCGCCCTGTATTTTCAAAAATATTCTGTCGTAGTCCATATTGAAATTGTGGTTGTTCTCTGAAATGTAGCAAGTATAGGTGAAATTGGTTATCTTTAATTCAAAACTTTTTTTATATTCGGAGTTTCTCGTTTTGAAATTTTAAAAAGTTTATAAAGGAAGGGCTTCATTTAGCGATCAATTTAAAAAAATCAACTATATGCAAAGATGTGTAGATCATGCAAAGAAGTAACTTGCAGACAGAAGATTCCCACATTTTTTGTATGACGATGGAGAAGTAGACAGCCAAAACTTTTGTTCACTAAAAATTATTCTCTCCTGAAAAAAATACCCTTTTCAATATCATGTTTGTTTTTCGAACAACCAGAGATTCACTTTTTCTAAATAGGTTGATTTTTATTCATATTACAGGAGATTGTAGAATCATTTGCAAATAAAGTAAAACTGTTGAATGTGTCGGTCTCAGATCATTGTTATACAAAAAAAATGGAAATGGTCTAACATAAAACAGACAAACAGGACTTGATCTACAGTTATAGTGTCGTTGAAATTCATTCAGTTTGTTTGAAAGCTATTTTTTAATATTAGCACAGGGTTCTTTGAATTATTGGGGAGCATTTCTAGTCTACAGTATTTTTCCAATATGTATTTTTTTATAATTCAGTTCTATTTTGAAAAATGTTTTCCAAAATTCTTCATTTCTTGATTACGATTCCTGACCAGATATTTATGACGAGGTTTTTGACATATCTAATCAACATATATTTGATAACTCATTCATAAGTAATCTTTGGCATGTTTTTTCCTTTGAAATGTGTGAACTAAGAAATTTTGTGATATAAAATTAAACAACAGGAGTAATAATAATAAATATAATATTTAAGTTTATTCATGAATAAATTCAGCAATATTTCAGAATACATACCTTATTAACTCGAAAATAAAAATCAGAACATTCTTCAATTTACAATCATTTGTGAACCTAGAATTTACAGGTTTTCTGTAATTTCTATGGTTATTTCAAAAACAGTTTAATTTTTATTATTCAGAAGACTATAAAAATGTTTTCTAGAAGTTTTAATTAACCAATGTGAAAGTGTTGCTAACCTAATGAACATGGTTTCTAGCACGAATTGATTGTGTTTATGTCTTTGACCCAATGTTTGATGAATGGTTGTTATGGTTTTGTTGGGTCTTTTCAATTGAAAGAAGCATGAATTAAAAGAAATGCAAATTTTGATTACTTGATGCATGTAATGAAATCAGTCACAATTTCAAGATAATTCAATTGGATCTACTGATCATAATTCAGTTTTACTCACTTCAAAGTATCAATAACAATGTTTTGAGTTGCATATTGCTGCATTACGAGAGCTTGTGAAATGATTTCAGAAGCATCGTTAGATGTAATATTATTAACGCCAAAATTTATTGATAGCATGTCATGAGAAATAAAGCTTCAAATCATCAAGATCATGTTAAATAATGATAATTAATGAAGGTGAGTATCAGGTTTATATAGTTACAAATAAAGTATGACTTAGAAACACAAATGAAAAAATTGAAAATTAAACACTTTACTTAAAAAAAAATATGAGGGACTTCCAGAAGAAGGAAGAAAACAATCGAGTTCAAAATAAATTATTTACAGAAATGGAGAAGTGAAAGTTTTCCCAAAAATTAATCTATCCTAAAAATATACCTCTTTTATTTAAAAAAAATACTTTATCTCGCTTTTGAACCATGATTAATCATATGTTTCTTGAATACATGATTATTGAAGCTTCAATTAATTTTGACACATGTATACTTTGAGTTGAATTACTACTCTTATATGGACTGAGATGGTCCTTTTCACGGGAAAAAGAAGTTTATCGGGCTTAAAACCTCCCGAAATCTTCAAAAGCAAACTAAACTTCTCTGAGGAGGTGAAATACCTTAGTAATATCCTTGACAGGAAGCTAACATGGAACTCTCACCTACAGAGTAGAGCATATGTGGCTTATGAGCAATGTCGGAGGACAGTGTTACACGCATGGGGTCTTTCGCCCCATATGGTCACCTGGATCTACACTGCAATAATAAGACCTATGCATGGGGACAGAAAGTTCTACAAGCAACGGCCATCCAAAAATTATATCAAATACAGCGACTGGCTTGTTTAAACATCACAGGAGCCATGAGAACAACACCAACCGCGGCAGTGAAATTAATTACGTGTCTGACTTCTCTGGACCTATACGTTAAGGAGGTTGTGTTAATGGTTATGGTACGATTGCGCACGGCTGGTGTAAACCTCGAAGTAGGAATGGATCGATTGAGGCTGGGCCTATGGCGGGAAGCGCATACTGCGCAACCTCTGCTGCAGGCAACCAGTGATGCAATCGAACCCAGGTTTGTGTTTAATAAACCCTACAAAATACAAATGAAACAGAATACAGAGTCAGATGCTACAAATGCAATATGCATATATACAGACAGCTCAAAAACCAAAGGATTGAGTGGGGAATGGGAAAAAATACCAGCGTGGTCCAAACAGAACTGGCTGTTGTCTCGAACGCCACAAAAGAAATAACCAGTAAAGGAATTTCTGGCAAAAACATAACAATCTGCACTGATAGCAGACAAGCCCTATCTATTAGCCTTGAACAGACAACGTATAACCTCAGGGCTAGAACTAGAGTGCCACTAAGATTTAGCCAATGCCTCGGTAGATAATAACATATTCCTGAGGTGGGTTAAAGGGCACGACAGAAGTAAAGGTAATCGCATTGCCAACTCTTTAGCCAAGAAAGCGGCTGGACTAAGAATTTTAGGACCCAGTGGCACCCACGGCCTGATGACTTTGACATCCTTAAAGAGATGGAATGGAATCAAAAGATGCAATCTTGCCAGGTTCACCTTGGCGTACACCTGCCGATATAAAGGAGATGTCTCCCGGTGACCTGTCCATCTTTTCATATTTTCTCTGATGAACCATGAGTTCTGAATTTTGTACAGTGCCAAAAAGTACAAATACTGTAATTAAATCACTTGAAAGGTCCCACGTACAGAAAATATTCAGGATTTTTTTATATTGTACATCATTATTTTTCGTGTTTGAAAAGTTGCAAATTGTATTTTCGGAAAACAGAAATAAAAACAAGTTGGGTAAAAATTTCAACTACCCAAAACTTTTGATCAAACAAATACATATTATATTTTATGTATTTATTATCGGTAGTAAAAATAATAATTTCTAGCATATAGAGATCTTCACATTTCTAAATTCATCAAAGTAAAAGTTAGGTATTTTTTGTTGGCCGGCATTAAAAATTTAATTTCCGGCAAATTCCAACTAATTGCCTCAATAACTCCACTTTCCACAATGAGAAAACTCTTTAGAATCGTTTATAATGTTAACCAAATAACCTAATCTTTGATAGCAATGATGGTTGTGAGCAAGTGACTTCATGGAATTATTACCCTTCTTGTTTTTATATCATTTCTAGAAACATTGGTCGAGATTGGTCAAATCACCAACATCAAAATAAAAACTTGAGCGTTACACCAATAGGAGGTTCCACTTATATCTCGATTGCATTTACGCAGTGATTTTTATCAAGTACTGGGTTCTCAACATTTCATCTTCCATCGAGGACCACCTGCCCGATACTGATGATGCCCAACAGGCTGAAACAGATATCTACAGGTGGCTGTTGAATTGAGATAAAATTGGGAATGATCGAAATACTACTCATTTATTTATCTCTATATATGTACGTGCGTGTGTGTATTTCATTTTCTGAAATAAACATTATCATTAGTATTGCTGTAATGTATAGTTCAAACAAATGTCAAGGTCAGGACTCCTATTTTTGAATTTCGTTTCTACTCCCTCGTTTATCCACTTCAAAAAGACATTCCTAAAATGAAGGAAGTCAAATGGAAATATTGTTAAACTTCGTCGTAAGTTAACCATCAAAATGGATTGACTATCAATTGATTTTTCTTGGGTAGTTTAATGAGCATTTCTTTTTGCATAAAATCGTAAAGGTATGGAACTATGACAATCTGCAGATACATACGAACAAAACTAGATGAAATCAAATTGTGGAAGGACGCCCCCAATTATTCCGTCTTCATATTTTCTTCTACATCTCTATTGATTAGCTCATTTCAGGAAATTAGTAAATTGGATCGTCCAAACTATACAGGGTGTAACTGAATAAGTGTAAAACATTTAAGGAGGTGATTCCTCATCGAAAAAAAGATAAGGATCTTTCATATAAAGAAACTTCATTGGAGCATCCCTTGTTAAGAAACAGCGCAGCAGAAACAGCGGGTAGATAAAATTTGTATAACAATTTTTTTCACAAGCACTGAAAAAGTTACAATATTGAAATTAACCTGACGTTTTGTACTACCAAAAAGACACTTAGCCAGTAATTTATTTGGTTTACCCCATGGTTGTAAGGGGTGGACCCCTAAAATTTATTTCCAATGTAACTTTTTGTCTTATTATTTGTTTACCATTTAAAAATTCATTTCCGATAGCCTGTTTCATCCTAAACAAAAAATGTCTCTTGGGTTTTTTGCCCAAAATAAACCAGTTCGCAGCAAAAAATTATTTTATGAACAACTACAGAGATATGTCGTTATAAATGCGAACTGTCGATGATGCGGTTTCTTAAGTCCTCTACATCGCGAACAGGAGTACGATAAACCAAATTCTGTATATGGCTCCAAATAGAGAAATCGAGAGGATTAAGATCCGGGGATCGAGCGGGCCAGTTCTGTGGTCCTCCTCGACCTATCTACTGATTTGCATATGTTTCAGTTAAATGCTGACTTGCTACTTCATCCCCAATAACTCCGAGCCACACGTTAAGAGAAAACTGTTCTTGATGGTTAGTTTCGACAATAGCGTGAGGGTTTTCACCAGCCCATATGTGGTAATTATGAAAATTAATAATCTTGTCCCGAGAAAAACTACATTCGTCTATGAATTCTATCGTCTTCAGAAAGTCACAATTTCTTCTAATCATTTCCAGCATCCAGTTGCAAAATTCAAGACGGTTCGGAAAGTCTCGCGGTAACAGTGCCTGTACTCGTTGCAGATGGTAAGGGTATAAGAGTTTTTCCTTTAAAATTCGAAATACTGTCATATGATCAATATTTAGCTGGAAAGCAATCTTTCTAGTACTGGTAGTAGGTTGTTCTTCAATCAAATTAAGTACTCTTTCCTCAAGCTGTGGTGTTCGTACTTCTCGATGGCGTTCACAATCCTGCGTTCTTTTATCGAATGAACCATATTCTCGTAATCGTTGATGAAGTCGAGCAAATTTTCTGTGTGAAGGATGCTGCCGTTGAGGATACATTTCAGCATATCTTCTAGAAGCTTCTAACCCATTCCCCTACGACAGACCGTAAACGTAATGCATATCAGCCAGTTCCTCATTTGTGTATGCCATTTTAATAACAAGTGAATTATTAAAGTAACAAATTAAGAACAGAATAACAAGACACAATTAATATTATTTCAATTTCGAAAATTCACAAACTGACAGCGTCATACCAATTTAATTGTTACTAACGCTAATAGCGACCTATTAGATAGATTAGTTTCGTATTTATGACGATGTATCTCTGTAGTTGTTCGTAAAATAATTTTTTGCTGCGAACCGGTTTATTTTGGGCAAAAAACCCAAGAGACATTTTTTGTTCAGAATGAAACAGGCTATCGGAAATAAATTTTTAAATGGTAAACAAATAATAAGACAAAAAGTTACATTGGAAATAAATTTTAGGGGTCCACCCCTTACAACCATGGGGTAAACCAAATAAATTTCTGGCTAAGTGTCTTTTTGGTAGTACAAAACGTCAGGTAAATTTCAATATTGTAACTTTTTTAGTGCTTGTGAAAAAAATTGTTATACAAATTTTGTGTACCCCCTTTAAGGGGCTGTATCCCAACAAGGGATGATCCAATGAAATTTCTTTATAGGAAAGATGCTATCTGTTTTTCGATGAGGAATCACCTCCTTAAATGTTTTACACTTATTTAGTTACACCCTGTATAGTTGAAATGGTTCACAATGGCTTTTTGTTACAGAGAATTTCATGAATGAACTTCACAGCTTAGACTTTTAGGTTATGATTTCCATTCCTACTCCATTTTCATTTTATCTTTCTCACGACCAGTAAAATTAGTGAGAAAACTCCAATTTTCTCAGGTTGTGATAGAAATAGTTCGAGAACAGGGTATTGCGAAACCATTTTTGATAATTTCTCTTGAAATTGCTACTCCCTGAAACTTGAGATTGATGGACCGGCATCAAGAAATTTTTTTGTCGGGTTTTTTAGAGAGTCTATAGTTCAAAGCTTCCCAATTGGCTCTTGGAACATTTTTATATTCATTATTTTCATCGTCCAACTCATCAGTTTTTTCTTGACACCGTTATATCTACTGCTGGTGATGGGTTTGACACTTTGTTTTCACAATTGAAAAAATTATTAGTTGACTAGTTTGTCTCGAAAATTTGGTTGTTGGTTGTTTTTTATTTTATTTTTTGTAAATGTATATAATACGTCTAATGGCTTTTAAAATAGTAATATTAACACGAAAAAAACTACTTTTCGAGACTTGAAGACAAATTTAATTAAATTCGTAACGTCAGCAAGAAAACAATTGTTTTTTTTTTTAAGAAAAAATCGATCGTGTCACAAAACCAACCTTCCTTCAGAAAAAATTATTGTTTTGTATGACTAAAAGTGATTATCACAATTTTTTTTTCAGGTGGATTGTCATTTCGATAACAAATTAAAAAACGGAACCCATCACCTTGATGACGATGACGAATTATACTATTTCAATCTTCAAAATGAAACAGAGCAGCTAAAACAAGAAAACGATCGGTTGCAGACCGAACTAACAATTTCCAATGATAAAACTACAGAACTCCAAATAAAACTTGGTGATATTATGTTTGAAAAACGAAATATTGAAGAATCTCTCAAAAATTCTAAAATACACGCGTCGAAACTCGAAGAGGAGATTAATTTATTAAAAAGAAATCTAAATATTACAAAAGAAAATGAGTTAGAACAAAGTAATAAAGATAAAAGGATTGCAGAATTGGAAAAAGAATTGAATGAGTTGAAAAATAAATACGAAACACTGAAGTCGGCTCAAGCTTTGCTGGAGGAAGAACTACTCAAACATGAAAATAAGTTCAATTTTGAAACCGCCTTCAAAGCTCAACAAAAGGAATTATGCGAGAAAAACAAGGATTTGGTAGAGCTTCAACAAACGTCTAAAGAATACAAGGAAATGATCTGTAAGCTGACCAAATCGAATCAGGAACTGGAGAAAACTCTGAAACAAATCAAAGCAGAGTTGAAAGACAAAGAGGACACCGCCGAAAAAGTACAAGCTCTCAATGAAAACATAGAAGAAACAGCTAGCCAAGTCCAAGCCCACATTGACAATAAAAAAACTGTGATTACGGAGCTGCAACAGCTCAACTTGGCATTCGAAACCAACATAAAAAAGTTGCAGACTGAGCTCAGCAATAAAATCACTGAAGTTATGCGATTGAAGGACATTCTTAAGAAAAACGAAAGTATAAAAAATAAGATCTGGCACGATAATAAAGTAATGCAGCAGGATATCCACGATTTGAAACAAGAGAACCAGAATCTCCACAGGCAACTGGAAGAAAGTGATAAATTGAGGGAAGATCTGAAAGACGAGTACAATAGTATCTTTTCGAAATACGAGGAAGAGCTTGCCAAAAATGATGATTTGCTCGTTCAGATATCATGCCAAAAACAAGAACTATCGAAGATTCTAGAGGAAGTCGGCTCCCTAAAGAAGGAACTGGATTGCATCAAGCACATCCAGAAGGAAGACAAAGAGAAGATAAATCAGAAGTTGTCGGAATATGAAGTTTTGTTACAAAGCTACAACGCAAAAACCAAAGACCTCAGAAACCACAACGAACAGTTACAAATCGAATTGGATAACGAAAGACAGAAACAGCTCAAGGAAGACAGAGTTTCTGAAGAACTGTTCAAAAAACTGGAAGCATTCCAAACCATGCTCCTGAATTTAGAAACCAAGATAAGTGAACTCGAAAATCAGAATGAGCTGCTCAGAGTCGAATTGGAACGCGAAAGAGGAAAAACAAGAAGGGCACCGGACGGAGACTCTTCGTCCGATTGCAGCTGTACGTCTTTCACCTTTGAAAAGCTAACTCATGAACCAAAGAGTAGATCTTTCGAGAAGCAAAAAATCACGATAGATCGGTTGAAGGAAAAAGTAGAGCTGTTGGAAAAGAAGTTGTTGAGTGAGAAGTCTAGATGGGACAGGTTGAAGAATGAAAAGGAAAACGTTGAAACGAAGTTGAGGAAAGAATTTGAGGAGGCGAATAATCTCATAACCGTTGAGAAACAAAAGTTTCATGAGGCCGAGGAGGCGAAGAATCTCATTTCCATCGAAAAACAGAGGTTGCAGAGAGTCGTTGATGATCTAACTGATGAGTTGAAGACTCAGGAGGAGCATTATAAGGAGATTTGCGAACGTTCGAATGAGAAGGTGAAAGAAATCTCGTTGAAAATATCCCAGTTTGAAGAAAGTAATGAACGCTTGCGCCTCGAACTAGCGAAAAAGGAAACAATTTTCAGTAAACACCTGGAGGCCAATAACAATAATGAAAAGATCATCAGCGAACTGAATCGAAAGTTACAGGAGCTGAACGATCAGCAGTCGAAAGTTTCCTTGGAACTGGAGGAAAAAAGAACTGCCTACGCTGATCTTCTCTCAGAGTACAAAACATTCCAGCACAATGCGGAGAGTCAGCTGTCCAAAACAGCTCGGGAATTAGTCGATCGGAAGGACGCCTACGCTGATCTCCTACTAGAGTACAAAACCTACCAGCAAAAATCGGAGGAACAGCAGTCGAAATTTCTGCAGGAACTCGCGGAGAGCAAAAACTCCTATTCCGATCTTCTGTCCGAATACAAAACATTCCAGGAAAAAGTGGAAGACGAGCAATCTAAAGTTTTCTTGGAACTGACCGAGAAAGAAAACTCTTACGCTAGTCTTTCGTTAGAGTACAAAACATTCCGGGAGAAACTGTCCAAGACTGATGATCACAAAGAAAAGGAGCTGATGGATATCGAGGAGAGGATCAAACGTTCTCGTATGGTTTTAGAATCTCTGGATGCGGAATTGGAAGCTTCAAGAGAACGAGTGAGCAAATCGAAGACTGAGGTGGATTGCGTGTCAGAAAGGATCAATGAGCTGATGGACATTGTTTGTAAATGCAGTAATGAATTGTCAAGGTAAGAGAAGGGTTTAAATAGTATTACGTTTCTTGTGGGTTTTCAGATGAGTGACAATCAGTAAATTACATCAAAGCAGGTTATAGTTTATTGACTGTTCATTGTTATTGTGAATCGAAGAGTTGCTTTTGAAACTTGTCTGGAAAGGTTTCCTAGTAAAAATAGATTTCTCATTAGCTTTTTTGATAGTTTATTTATATGATGATCCCATTTTAACTCACTGTCGAAATGAATTCCCAAAAATTTCACACTACTTTGCGAATTTGAGTAATTTTCCGTATTTCTTAGGGTGAATACCATGTTTTGGGTTTTGTTGTTATTCAGATATAATTAGTTTGCGTTGAACCACCTTTCAGTTCGTGACTGTGCTTCAGAGGATGATATAAGTACCTCATCTAGAGTTTAAGCATTTGTTTGGATTGTAGTATCGTCTGCATATAAAATATATGATAACGGGTTCTCCCAATATGGTAGGTCATTAATGAAAATTATAAATAGTAGAGGTCCCAAAATAGATCATTGCGGTACACCAGTTGTAATTTTTTTTCTTGTTGATAGAGAATTGCCCACTTTCACAGTTTGAAATCGATTTTTTAAGTATGAGTTGATCACCTTTATAGTGTTGTCAGAAAAATTATATAGTTTTAATTTATTCAAGAGAATTTCATGTGATACACAATCAAATGCTTTGCTTAGATCACAAAAAGTTATTTCTGAATACTCTAGTTTTTCAAAAGTTGTTGTTATTTTGTTGTTAAGATTTAGTATCGCCATTTCAGTGTTTCTACCTTTTCGGAATCCATACTGGCAGTTTAGAATGAAACAGGCTAACGGAAATGAATTTTTAAATGGTAAACAAATAATAAGACAAAAAGTTACATTGGAAATAAGTTTTAGGGGTTGCGTTTTCCGCCCCTTACAACCATGGGGTGAACCAAATAAATTTCTGGCTAAGTGTCTTTTTGGTAGTACAAAACGTCAGGTTGATTTCAATATTGTAACTTTTTCAGTGCTTGTGAAAAAAATTGTTATACAAATTTTATGTACCCCCTTTAAGGGGCTGTTTTTTAACAAGGGATGCTCCAATGAAGTTTTTTTATATGAAAGATCCTATCTTTTTTTCGATGAGGAATCACCTCCTTAAATGTTCTACACTTATTCATTTACACCCTGTATATCTATTACCTGGTATTTCTTCGGAGTATCCAACTGCTTCAATGATATTTTTTCTGATTGGCTATACCAAAAAATAATTTGAAAATATTGTATCCATGTACGTAAAAAATAGAAAATAAGTCAGTTCATAAACAATTCATCACCAATCACTTCTAACTTTGACAACTAATGAATGAATATTTTTGACAAAATATATTTTTCTACTTTTATATTTTAGGGTATTTTCACAAGTTAATGAAAAATGGAAAAATATTATTGCCGACAACCCTATTTATAGGAATCTACCCTCCATGAAAATGTGCCATACTCTGGATATCGAAGAAGGAATAAAAGTACTTAATGACAATATAAAAATAACAGTGACCTTACTGGAACTATTGGTAAGCCTAATCAGCATCACTTCGTGTATGAAAAATGTCAATGTCATTGATATTTTGAAACATGTCAGAACGTTCATGTATACACTTTATTATTTTATTTTGACTTTATATTTTTCAATGATTTAATTTCAAGTAAAGCCATTAATAATTGTCGTTTCAAGGTTCTATTATACAATGCTTTTTTTTAGTCCTCAAAGGCCCCGATTTCGATGGACGATCCTGATTCTCAAGGATTTGCTTCTCAGCAAATAAATTCGTGAGTAGCCAATTTGTTTTCCAGGATCATGAGATAATTCACGATTTTTTGCAGAAGTGATTGTAAGACTGTTAAAAAATTTACTCTGAGGCCTTCTAGACTGATTTTGAATAGACCGGAGAGTCCCGACTCACCGTCCATAGAAATAGATTGTCCCCCCGTCGAACCACCCAAACAGGAGTCTGATGGTGATACGGCGAATGATGGATGCCATATCAAAGAGTTAACTTCAGAAACTACTGATGATAACTTAGAGAACAGTTCGCATGTGAGTATATTGGTGTTGAATATCATTTTTCATTGAAAGTGGTTTGAGATTGTTTTTTGTATTATACTACTTCAATTTTCCTTCGCATATTTTGTTCATGCACTCAATTGTATCAATATTTTTGCATCTGTCCGATCTGTTCTTTGTTTACTAAAGATTTTTTTTAACAAATTGTTTGTTTATGGGTTTATTAGCCGTGGTCTGTAGGTTTTCGTACCTGACGTTTCCTATGATACTGCGGCAGATAATAACAAAGGCGATGCTCAAAAGCATTTTCAATTGTTATGGAGAATTATTGAATGACTATTGGAGAAGTTGCTGAAGACATCAGCATATCGGTTGGCTAATGTCATGCAGAATGGCATCGAGGGTCGTCCAGATTTGCTTAAAAGGGTCATAACTGGTGAAGAATAATGAGTTTATGGTTATGACAACGAAACCAAAGTCCAATTTTATTGTATTGTATTGTACTTTATTGGTCAGTAATACACGACATAGTGTTTTGACAAGTCATTGACTACACCTAGTTCTAAATTTAAATAAAATGTGTTAGAATAGAATAGAAGTTTATTCATCACTAAAGTTCACATGTACAACATAAAAAAGTGTAAATACATGAAACTTATTGGACTAGTCACAAAGAGAGCTTAAAAGTAATTATAACCTTGAATTCATAGTGAGAGATCTTTTGTAGCAGAATTTCAAACAAACTAGAAATAAAAATCATGTTTGCATCAACCAATTTAACTTATTCTCGATATTTTGATTTGACAATCAAATGTAGTTGAAAGTCTAATCACCCGAAGACGATTGTAGATACTAACAATCGAAACGTCGTGAACTAACGTGACTTGGAATCTCTCCACTTTTTATTTTTATTTTCTTCCCTTTATTTTTTTATTTATTCAATTGCTCTATTTTTACTAGTATTTTATTTCACTATTATTTTATTTCAGGTTTATTTTGGTTAATATAATTGTTATTTTCAGCTATTCATTTTTAATTATTCTTTTTTAGTTGCTTCAGGGATTTCAAATCATTTTATATAGTAGACAATGAAAGTGCGAACTAGTGAAATTCATCATGAAACATTGTCAATCATCTTCAAACAAACGTCTAATTTGGAGTTACTCATTTGATTATACCAAAGAGTAGCCAAAAGGAAGTTAATACCTTTTATCATTTGAAGAAAAATCCGATAATTCTAGTCTTTTTTAAACTCATAATTACTTTGTCAAAAATTGTTGGAAGGCAGCGAATAATTATTCTAATAAACCTCTTTCTGTTCTTTAATCACCAACACCTTTCATTATTATTCGGGAGTTGTAATATTGAATTATCGTAATTGTTTGATAGCGAAGGAAAGTTCCGAAACTCGTTTTGCCGATATCGGTAGGATTCGATTGGAATTAATTTCATCGGTGGAACCGAAACGCTAACAAAAAGCTTTCGATTTCCAATCACAGAACGGAGAAAATTAATTAGATATTTCGTTTGGAGCAAATAAAATGGCCCGCTACGCGAGAAGAGCAGAAGTTTGTGAACTACAAGGCAATCTATTTCTGTTACGAAAGGTGTGGAGTCCTTCATCCCCCGCTCTCGAAATGAAGGACGCTCCATCCCTTCGACAGCTCAAGAATCCCTGAGAGACATCACTAGCGGCTTATGGAAGTCGGATTAGCTCTCACTGGGTAAATTGTTCGACTGTAATTTGATTTATAGTCACAACTTTTTGAATATGGGAATACCTTTTTGTTGTGGTGTGAAGGGGTAGCTCAAGAATTTCTCATCTGAGCACAACTGCAAGAAATAAATATATATTATATGCAACAATTAGATATATTTTGTGATCGCAAAAATGCCCAGTGAATCTGTTTTTTTTTTAAAAAAAAACAAAAGATAAAAATTGTTTGATTCTATTGAACATTATTCCGGTATAATTCAATGTGTTTGGGCTACACTTTAAGTCAGTCATTCAACTGACAATTGCCTCTACGAATATTCGCTGAACTGTACATTCGAAAAATTTGTATTGAAAAATTATAGATTACCATAATCATAATATCTATATCTATCTATAGTGGTATAAATGTGACAAAAAATTGACTACACTGAACAATACTCATACTTAACTTTATTTCACTTCAAATACAACAAACAGTTCAACTAAAACTTCAACTAATATTCGAATGTCTATCGCCTTACTAGATCGCTCCGCAAACCGCACTTCCACTTAACTGTCTCGATGGGCGAGTGGATGGCGCTTATATTTGACAATCGAAGGCGCCGGAACATTCCTCAGAATTCCATCAAAGCCGGCATTATTCTCGCTACATCTAGAACGGCAGCAAACATCGAACATTCGCGCGCTCTTAGCTACGTCACAATTGGTTTATGGCTGCCAGTGGCGGCCAGCGTTATTTCCTTTAAGGCATGATTTACAACACTACCCCCTTCCCTGAGGTTGTTCACCCCGAAAAATATTCCAAGAGGGGACATCACGACTCATGCAAGGACTCAGCCTATCTATGTAGCTAACTTTTGGCTTGCTTATGGGTGACAGTTGGATTCTATACACCAGATCGTTTATATTTTTGGTTACCAGGTAAGATCCTTGTCATGATCTCTGCAATTTGGGACACAAACCTTTCCGACGTTGGGGTTGGTAAAGTCACACCTCATCGCCCTCCTTGAAGCTCACTGGCAGCGACTTTTTGTCAAATCTTATCTTCATCCTGTCGCTGGAAAGCTGTAATTTGGATTTAGAAATTTTTTGTACAATTTACAGTCTATCCTTCAGGCCATTCACATACTCTGAAATAGTTGTCTCTTTGGTTTTCGGAGACAAACATCGAGAGGTAGTTATTGATGGTGCTATTATGCCTCTCGACCATTCCATCGGACTGTGGGTGAAGAGCAGTTGCTCTTGTCTTCTTTATTCCCAAAAAAGTCATCATTTCCTTCCATGAATCCGATTCGAAGTTGCGGCCCTGATCCGAGTGTAGTTCCCGGGGTACTCCGTGTCTGGCAATAAAGTTCTGCAACAGCGCTTCTGACACCGTTTTAGCTTCTCGGTTGAGTAAGGCTACTACTTCAGGCCATTTGGAGAGATAGTCCATCATAACTATAAGGTACTTGTTACCGGATGTGGTCATAGGGAGTGGTCCCAGAATGTCAATTGCGATTTTCTCGAAAGTGCACCCACTGAGGTATTGCTTAAACCTTCCTCTTTGCCTTGTCTTCGGACCCTTTCTCGAAGAGCACAGTTCACAGCGCTTACACAACTCTTTCTCCGTGGCAATCGACCCAATAGTACCTCTCACGCACTCTTGCTAGAGTTCTATTTACTCCGAGGAGGAGTGGAGCTGTTCAAGGATATTCGGAATACACGTCTTTGTTAGGATTATCTGGAATTTGTGAGTTCTTCCATCCCGGCTTTTCCATTTACGAGTATGTAGGTTATCTCGAATGTACATGGAGTCCCATTGGAGTCAGTAACCCTTTACCTGCAGGCCGTATTTGGAGATCTCTTGCCATTCCGACCTCACGCCTTTGGCAATCCATTCCCGAAGGTACAGTTTTCAAAATCGGATCCTCCTTCTGCGCTATGATGATCTCGTGCCTCGTCATGAAGATAATAGTGTCACCTTCAGAGGTAGTTAAGGACAATACTACACCATGGTCAGGTGATTCTTCAAATTTTCTCTCCGTATCCCTGGACTAGGGATCCTTACAGGTTGCTACCCTCTGGGTAGCCAGCCGACATTGGTTTGCGAAATTCCGGTCCGAAGATGAGCCCCAAAGTGGTACCCCTAAAGTAATCCATGACGGAAATTTGGGGCTCCAGTGGAGTGGACAAGTTGTGTGTGGGATGGCGGAAGAACTGGGCGTCAGCTCCCATGCGGTTATCGATGGTTTGAAACATATAAGAAACTGGAGTTTTTTCCTAACACCAAACAGTTATTTTAACACCTCAACACGTGTTTCAATTACCAAGTGATCATCTTCAAAAGGAAGATCAAACTGAATATACTTACAATGTTATTCTTATTCATACCTTAGATAGCTCTTCTAGGTACCTGCGTCCTGAGTGTCTTAAATTAATTTCTTCACAATATTGCCCTATCTAAGAAATTTGTATTGCACTTTTCAAACTAGACTGACTCTCTTACGTGAGGGTAATGCTTATATATCGACGCGAGTACAAAATTAAGACAAATTCCATTTGAACTGAAGTTAAAAAATGTTGGATTGACACTCTCAATTTTCATTCATGAATAGACGATCAGAAATCAATTCGACCAGATGCCGTCGACAATTAGCATTCTCCAAGTGATTCAGTCCCCTTCTGGAATGTAATATGTTCCAGCTATTAGTTATCTCCATAATGGAAGGGTCGAAGGCATGAATGACTCTCTTAGACGGTGGCGTAAGGGCAGATGTTACCACGTAATTGAGCTCGGCATTCTGCACTCACTTTGTTACTGCACCCCGGTGGATTACCAGGTTTTATGGATTACCAGGCGGGATTCAAATTTAGTGTGTGACATCTTTTTCGGATATTGAATTTTTTACAATGTCAAAAAATCGAGGAACGGCAAATTCGATAGAATGAACTGTTTACTCACTAGAATTCTAATTTTTGAAGGACCCATGTACGACTGTATCAATAGCAGGGGAGCCCACGATGCAAAATGGGGATTTACTCGAGCGTCATTGAGACACATTAGTACTCATCCAACCATTTTTAAACTTGAACAAGCTTTAAACTTTTTTTTCGTATTTTTGAGAACGCATTCAATATTTTTAAAACTCCATAGCTTATCGATGATATTCACATTTTCTTGTATAAATATGAAGGAGTAGAAAGCCAAAGCTCCCCTCAACTAGTACTTAATGCGACAAATTATTGTATGAGTAATTATTTGTGCAATGTGACCATTCCACGAAGAATGTAGTGTCACATTATAAACGAAGTCTCTCGGCCAGCTGACAATCCA